TTTTGAACCTACCCTTTGCGTCATTGCTTTCAAAGGAGGGTTAGATTTTCGACTGTAAAATATTGCGTTCGCATGGAAAGGTAGAAAGTAGAAAGTAGTAGAAAACCTTTTTTTTGAAAAAAAAAGTGCCGGTAAACTCAGCGCTATGTTGTAGGTTACGACTGAGCCGTGGTACTAACAAGACTAACAGCATTATCGCTCATGGACGTAATTTATTTTGTCCTAAATATTTTGGGATTGGAACAGCTTTACTTTTTCCAATTTAGGGGACACCAGCTTTCCTTTTCTTTGATTGCAAGTTATAGAGGCAATATGATTATTTTAATTTTGTGCGCTATTGTCAAAGGACAGGTGCGGATCCAGAATTATTCTTAGGAGGGGTGCACCTCTCAGAAGAACGGCGTAACTGGTGACGTAAACAAATTTTAAAAGCGAATACGAAGGCTTTCGACTCGGCAATAACATAATGTAAACTGCTGAGAATACATAGTCATATCTGCATACTTTGCAGAATACCAGGGGCCCATTTGATGGGCTCCTGAGAATACCAGTTGTATTAGAAAGCCGCAGGTCTTCTGAGGGGGAGGGGAGGGTGCGCATCCCCTGCATCCTCCCCCTAGGACATCCGCCCTTGAAGGATAACAGTTGTTTCCTGACGGAGACCTCGGACTCCTGGCTGACATGCTAACCCTTACGCGTTGGGATTAGCACCAACACTCTCAAACTTATTACTCCGCGGTCCCTGCATTTCTCTTCCATATTGATTGTACACCAACTTTTTATAAAACTTTTATCACATATAATCCAACACCATGGATTGAACCTTTTGCAAATATCCCATCATCCAACAAGATTCCCTATGGAACCTGATCCTCGTCGCGCACACGCGTACGCCACGGCCAGCCATCGCAGTTCGAGTCATTTAATGCGCACATCTCCACCGCAACAAATCTGACCGATAGAGCATTGGCCAGAATGTTCACAATAAACGACTGTTGACAACACATGTACTGTTGACAACACATGTAGAACGGCAACACATTTCACCAACAGAGCAATGCTCGTCGAGTTTACAGTAAGTTCCTATTAAGCAGTTTGCTCTCTCATTATACCAGGGAGTATCCCCCCAGCTCCAATTAATTTACCTTTTTGGAGACGGGTCATCATTATTTTTCGCCTAACGGAGGAGGGGGGGGGGTGCTGGGTGGGGGCCGAGGATTTGGGGCTAAACAAGGTGAAGTTTAGCCGATCCCTCCTTTAAATGTTACTTCGCTAAAGTAATCCCCTCCCTCCCCCATGTCTTCATTTTCCAAGCAAATTTGAGTGGTTCCCCCTCTGAATCCTTCCAAAGTTTTCAGTGATCCCCCCTAAAATCCTCCGTTCCCCCAGGGGATAAATAATGACCTGTCCCTAGTGCGTCCAAGCTTCTCCACCGTTGTCCTTGACCCCCTGACCCCTGCTTTGTATGGCGCGCGGGCGCGGGAAACCAACCTTCCTTAAAAAAATGATGTCATACAATTTTTTTCCTCTCGTGCCCTTCTATCTTCTTTGATGCAAACATTCCAATTTTTTGTCCATACCTGACTCTCTGCTCATAGTCAAGATTCGTCGACCCTGTTATTCATCCATCACCAACACGTGTAAAATAAACCCAAAAGATCTGCATATTTATATTGCTGGTTTTTAGTGTCACGCCATTCAAAATATACCAAAATAAAAATCAAAACCTTTCAATAGATAAAGTGCAGAATCTGGGAAATGAAAGGAGGTACATATACAAAGACCCTCGCCACGATTCAGGTCAGAGGAATATTTTGTATACGAGATATCCGAAGAAATGTTTTACCCAAACTTATAGAGATTTGTATGGAGACGCCATGCTGGTGCTCACCTGGAGGAGCTCCAACATGACGGACGGAAACCAACAGAAACATCTGTTATCGAGTTTTGCTACAAAAGCGAGAATTTATTCTTCGAGAAACTCATAAACATTAAGGTTATACTTTTTCTAATACATGAACTGTTTAGATAGCAAAATTTCCTGAAATAAGTTAATTTTTTTAACCTACATGACAGCTCTCTTGGCCGTCATGTAAATGCAACGTGACGCAAAAGCTTAGAAATTCAAGCGTACCGTCTATCACAAAACCAAGAACCTTTTTGAAGCGAAAATTGGTATGAAAATTAGTTTTCAGCTGCTCTAATGCATCGTGAAAGTAAAATCTCGGAAGGATCGATAGTTTTATAGTTTGAATTAGTGACGTCATGTGAAAACCAATAATTAACCTTTTCGAAACAAGAGCTGACTGCTGAATCGACCTGAATGCTCTCCGCAAGTGATAAAAGAGAATTTTCTTGCTGTCGGATGGATCGCCAATGTGTATTCATTGTCCTTATTTCTTGTTTTCTCACATTTTCCCTGTCAGGTGAGTAAAACTGCTGAATTTCAGCTAGTTTTGTGCTTTTTTATATTTCGATCAAAGCCGCTTATACATCAAACGAGTCCAAACTGCTATCAGCTTTTTTACAGTTTTGGTCCAATAATTTTTTGGAAATTTCACAGCTATCAATAGTTTTTCAGAGAAATCTTTTTTTCTTTCTAACCCAGCCCTCTATATAGATGATAAAAATGATTGTCGCTTACTGATACTGTAACGACTGTAACAATACGTTATTCAGTGATTTACAAGCACGTTTTCGTGATACAGTAACTCTACAAACGAGCGCCATACATTGTATATTTTTACTTAATTTATCTGATTTTTAATATTTAGTATTTCATTCGCATTGCAGAAGTTGGACCCGATAGAAATCTGCTTTTATATTTATATATCGTGCGGCTATTCCTGCTTTAATAAATTGCGTTAATTAATGAGCTACTAATTAAACACCGCTGCAGTTAATTATAATTTTTCGAAAATGTGTTTGGTAATCATTTATGAACAAAGGCAATTATTATATTTTCTTTATATTTTTGTCTCATTTCTTCTCCTGAGCGACTGATCCTCTTTTTTTAACGGCTTTAACAAAATATTTAGCCCTTTTTAATTGAACTCCTACCAGCCTGGGTGATCTTTAAATGTGTTTAGACATGACTACATCTCTATCGACACCACCATCAGTTTTTAAACCTTGGCACATGCACAGTTTTTCTTGCAAAGGGCTTTTCTTTTTGAGAACATTTTATGATCTTTCCTCACTTGGCGGCTGGAAGTGGAAGCTTATACAATTAGTAGCTATCATAGTACTTCTACGATATAATTAAAATTAGCATCATAACTATGCCTGCCTAAAAATACTGCCTCTTTATAGCCTCCGGATCTGTCGCTCAGTATCCAAGTATCGCTTCTTTGGGTGTTATTGATTGCAGTGCGGTAGATTATTTACTCGTATTTGGACCTCATGGATAGGATTATTGTTATTTTACGCGCAAACTACTCACAGTGTTTTAAAAGATAATTCCATCTTTGTAATATTTAGTCACTCCAGACTCGTCTTTTTGTTATCATGTTGTTTATATACATGTTCACACAGAGCGAAAATTGCGCAAAGAAAACAACTTGCACCGGAAAATAAACACACGCTCGTGTATTCGTCACGTCACTGATCTCATCACGTATGGAACAAGATATTCAGACAATTGTGTTAATGGTTTTGTTAATGGTTGACAAGATCCTACTTGAACTTCTGAGACAGGTCACCCAAGAAGGGAGGGGGTGAGGGTTGGGATGGGGGTGGGGCTGGTTGTGAGGGGCTGCCACTAGGTCGTCTCCGTTGGGGGTGTACTTCGCAGACTTTCTCCGGCCCGACTCTTTTTTTTTTAATCTTTTTTACCCATATACAGTGGAACTGGCCTCAGTCTCTTTTGGGACTTTCATTCAGGGGACATAAAAATTTGGTCGGGGAAAAATGTTCACATTATTGAAGCGACACCTCTACTCAGGGGAAAGGGACACTTTTTCTGGGTCCCGAAACCTGGGTTTAATCCCCTTTCAGAGGACACCTAACAATAGCAATCAAAAAGTGACTGACCACAAAAATATAATTTGTCGATAAGTTTAAGATCGTTTAAGTGTTCATTGTCCTAAGTCACAATGGCGACAGCTTTCACAACATGAATTAACTCACCACCTTATCAATGTACTCCACTTGTGGGAATTCAACATATAACATCGCAGAGATAAGTTAATGATGATTTTTCATACCTGATCAGCAGATTCTGCAGCCTGCAAGAGCAGACGCCTTGAGGTTTTTGGGTTCTAATAAAAATTTTTTTCTTGGTTAATAGGCCATTTGCATGATGGCGTCATTTTACTACTATGACCAGGATCCTTCCAGGCTTTTACTTTCTTGCGCAAATGAGGGCTTTTGCTATTTAAACCTCACTGGGGCAACCAAATTTAAATATGAAAAGAAAAACGAAAAGAATTTTGGTCGTAGTAGTAAAATGACGCCATCGTGCAAATCAGGCCTATTATTAAAGAGCCCCTGCCCAACCTCTATTCAGGAGACACTTGCCTTTATCCTGAAGGTGTCCCCTGAATAGAGATTTCACTGTAGATCGATGTCGCTTAGGTGTAAAGAGATAACTTTGTATTCTGTGTCGGGCGCGGGCTTTCCGGCCCTAGCAAAGAAACGAACCTGTTTCGCAAAGTTAGATTCCTCGTTTAACTGATCAGGGGCTACTCGGGTACCAGAGGTTATTCTCGCGTGCGGCGGGAATTCTCGGTGTTGGCCGAAGGCCGACACATCTTCGGCCATAGGCCAAAGCCATGAGCGGCGAATCCGCGCGGGTCACTATGAAGACTTGACAGAAACCGGAAACCGCTCTAGAAAAGTCTCTGGCACCCTGGGTAAAGAAGGGGAAGGAAACTAAAGAATAAAGGGGTGGCTCATAGCTAACAAACTGGTCCATCTATAACTTAATAATTATGGAAGCCCGTCTTGAGGCTCGATCTGGAATTCAAACACAGCTGAATGTAAAACAGCTTACCTGGATTTCGAAAAACGCGTACTCTTGTTCGAGGACTTACATGCAGGCAATTTTTTTCTTCTTGATAGCCTTTAACAACAGCTGTTCGAATACAAATGTGACCCTTGTTTCCTGTGGCTCTTACAACTCAACAAAAGACCACTGCCTGGATCAGGGATGCTGTTGGAATTCATCTTCAGCTGTTCATGAGACACAGTGTTACAGAGTACTGAAAAATAACCAGACCACTAGCAACGAAACCAACACTACAAACACTCCCATTAGCACTGTTTTGTCCACAGATGTAAAGACTACAGCCACATCTTTGGCGACATCAGCTGGGTAAGCCGACGTTTTAAAGAAACTGGTTTCTATATTTAAAAGACTCTTGACATCTTTAGGGAGCGTAATTGTAAGCGCTCGACCTCGAAGAACTTACGGAAAAATAGCGGACAGTGAACAACCAAGAGAGTAGCCCGTTTATCCCCTCTTGGAACAGTCTAATAAGACGGGAACCTTCCTAAAATGGACACCTAGAGTTGGTCGCCTCCGTTCTTCAGTGTTTTTCTTTGACTCTCTATAAGATAAACGCCTCCCTTAAATGGGTACCTAGAGTAGTTCCCTGCCTTTCTTCAGTCAGTTTCTTCAACACTTGAAAAGATAAACACGCCCTTAAAACGGACATCTTTAGGGTATGTCCCTGCTATTTTCCACTCATCTCGGTTGACATTTATTCTAAAGGGCAGACTTCCCTCTAACACTAACTCTAGGTGCTTGTCACAACGATATCTTTAAAAGGGGGGGCGTTTGGAAAGATTTGACTTAAAGTGGAAAACCTTTGCGACACTTCTCCCTTAATACAGTTTAGATTGTATGTGAGTTGTCTGTAACGTCTTTCTTGTCGCGAAAAAATTTACCTACACGGCATTGTGCATTTGGCTCGCAAAAAAGTGGAAATCGAGGCTGAGTTCATCTTATTTTTCAGTCCTTTAGGCACTTGTGAGGTGTACAGGGGTGAAGTCTGCGACCAGTGGTTAAACTTCACCATGCTGGAATACCGCTTGACTCCGCGATTTCTTGACATCAGGTTTGGATTGAATAGAACTGAACAAATAATCCTAGAGTTTATGAAGGCGATCGCTAGAATAGACGGACAAGATGAATGCAAGCGACTTTTAAGAATCCTCCTCTGCCAGTACTTTTTGCCTCCATGTAAAGATAACAACATACCGTACAATTACTGCAGAGAGGACTGTGAAGCCCTTTTTCAGCAATGCAATTCTGCTATGAGGGAGATGTTAGGCGCTGCTAAGTACATTCTAAAGGCATTAGGATTGGAGTTCGCTCATATTGGTGTTCCCGATTGCGCTAAACTTCGCTTTTCTGATGAGTACGAAGCTAAGAATGATACGTGCATTCACTGGGGATTGTTTGGTAAGTGCAAAACTCCTTAACCCTTTAAGCCCCGATATCCACATACAAATTCTCCAAACTGATCTCTATACATTTCCTTTAAGAATTAGAGAAGGGAATTTGATGAAAGATCAAAGTATTTTCTCTTAGGTGATCATTTTATTAATTCTCATAACCTCATCTCATGATAATGTATGGATATCTTTAGGAGAAAATTGCTGTTGCTCACTTTTGAGACTTAAAGGGTTCATTGACTAAAAGCGGCTTACTAGCCTGATAAGATAGCCGACATTTCGCGACGCCATCACTACTGGCTTCCCCGCGAAATGACGTCTGAAGAATAAGCGCAAGAATTTCATATTAACGACATGTCATTACCCATCCCTGGGCTGTGCTTCTGTTTGGCTGAAAATTTGTTTCTTCGGACTACTACTACTACTACTACTGCTACTACCACCACCACCACCACGACGACTACGACGACGACTACGACTACGACTACGTAACCGTAAATACGGCTAGATTGCCTCTTACCTGGAAGAAACGGGTAGGCTACCTGGTAGAATCAATGGTTACGCCATTATCACATCTGGGAAATAATGGTTGCCCTTTATAAAACTACGAGGTTAACATGTTCGCTTTCCCATACGTACCCGTAGGCTATAACGGCGTATCTTAATTAAGGTCACTAATAATGATGATGATGATGGTGGTGATATGTGATGGTGATGATGATGATGATAATAATAATAATGATAATAATAATAATAATAATAATAATAATAATAATAATAATAATAAATAGAACAGACAAACAAAATGAAAATCAGTCGCCTTTCCTGGAAGAAACACTTCAAACCCTCGCGAATTGCGTTCGACAGTGATAGATTTATTTTTACCTTCCTGTAGTATTCACGCCTTCCCCTCATCCGTCAACAAACAAGTTGAAAACGTCTCTCTTCGCTGGAGCCGTAGCTGGGGCTGTCGTATTTATCATCGTAGTTATCACACTCTTCGTTTGTGAACGGCGCAGGCGCAACAAACCGCTGAAAGTGGCGAGAGGGTTCGAGGGCGTCACTTTTACAGCCGTGTCCATGCGAGACAGAATAAGAGCGGAAACCATTCGCGCCCTGGACGAGAGCAAAGTCCTGAGTCTATTTAACCCGGATGATATGCGTCAAGTTCCTCTCAGCAGCGTAGAGTACATCCGGGACCTTGGATCCGGGAACTTTGGGTTGGTTTTCTTGGGTAAGTTTTGTAGCTTCCTTTCAATTGGCCATTTGCACCATGACGTCATTTTATTACTACGACCAGAATCGATCCTTTAGAGTTTTTCTTTCTTGTGCAAATTTAGGGCTTTTGAGAATAACCAGATTTAAATATAAAAGGAAAAACCAAAAGCATTCTGGTCGTGGTCGTAAAGTGGTGCAATCGCGCAAATGGCCTTTTGGCAAAGCAATCCATAGTAGACCAGGTTGCAAAACGGTAGATTTTTTTCTCAGAAACGTTTTTTCAATTAAGGTGCGAAGTGCCAGCGTCCGTTTTCGGCCTCGTTCCAGACCTTTTGTTTGATTGTTCGCGGGTACTTGACAACGCAAACTGAATACGGACTACTTTGCAGTCTAATAGTAGCGTGTTACGAAAGGTTAGAAAAAGTAGGAAAAACTATTGCGCATGTAAGTATAGTTTATATTCTTACTACAGTAAAAACCCGCGTATAAGAACCTAGTGATTTAAGAACCTACAGGCTGAAATTTGGCATTTTAATACCCAAATATATAAGAACCTATTCAGCCTGACAAAGAAAAATAATTAAGTTCCTATATAAAAAAATACTCCAGATTTGATGTTCAAATTCTGGATTTTAATTGTGAAAATTTTTGCAGTGTACTGCTTTTTAGTCTGACCAATAAAATATTATTCATTCCATAAAACTTTTCTATAGTTACAAATACATTTTTGTAAATGCTTTACAATTATAGCATATTAGTACTATTGCAGTTCCCCGAATGCTATCACTATAGTAACTTTTGCAAATAAGAACCTACTCACAACCTAATCAGACTGTTATTGGAAAAAATGCCCCAAAATATAAGAACCTGTTCAGCCTGAACTCCAAAATTCTAGGTTCTTATACGCGGGTTTTTACTGTATCTGTCACAAGATAGTAGCTCCAGGAAGTAAGTTTAAGCAAAAGCTCTCCTTTGAAATGTAAGACTTAGCAAAGCTAGGAGCGGAGAAAAAACTGAAATCACACATGAAAAGTCTCTGGTATCCAGAACCCAAAAAGGGGTGGGTTCTGTCGGATTTTCCCTTACCTGCTCCACAGACAAACAAGTAAAAAATAGAAATAAAAATAAAATGAATAAATAAATAATGATGATGATGATGATGATGATGATGATGATGATGATGATTAGAAGAAGTCTCATGCAAATTTTTATTTGGCTTCTAGGAAGAGCATATGGTCTAGTCCATGGCAAGGAAGATGCCGAGTTATTGGTTGCCGTCAAAACTCTCAAAGAAGGCAGCTCTACTGAAACAAAAGAAGACTTTTTCAAGGAAGTCGCATTGATGTCTCTTCTTCATCATGACAACATTGTGGAGCTATTAGCTGTCTCGACAGAAGAGGAACCTTATGGAATGATATTCGAGTTCATGGAACATGGAGACCTTAATCAATACCTAAGAAAGGCTGGGCCCTTTTTTGAGGGAGAGGAAAAGGAAAAAGGTATGATATTCCTAACGAAAAGAAAAATAGGTTTTGTCGGGAGCTTATAACCCAGAGTGAGCAACTTCCATATTATCGTGTGACGGAGTTTTCATCGACCAGTTTATTTTTAGAACGATTTTGGCGTTTATTTACAATATCTTTTAAAACTTACAAACAACTCAGCCTTCCACGCGGGCTTTTTTAAGGGAGGTCGTATTTCGAAAATATGAGCTCCCCTAAAAAAGCCTGCGTTGGAGACTACAAACGAGTCAGCAAAACCTAAAGACCTAAAAATGGTATTATTGAACTTTTAATTACGTTTTGTTTTCTTTTTTGAACTTCCATTTTCGCAAGAAAAAGGGCTTCAAAAAACCGATCAGTAAAATCACCGTCACCGGGGGGGTGCTGGTATGTGAGTTAGAAGATAATATCCTCCTCAATTTGCATAAATCTTCACATCCTACGAAAGCCGAATTCAATAATTGTTTTATCATTCATTCAAAATATTTTGAAGTTCTAACAAGCTTACCCCCTCGTAAACTGTTTTCAAAACTTTGGCCTATTTCTCGAGTAAGCTTTCGGGATTCCTGTCAGATACTCTCAAAAAATAGTTATCACCCGTTGAGCGATCTGTTTTGCGTATTTTTGCATTTCTTCCGTTCAGTTTTAGTTAAAAATTGAGCAATTTCTTTCTCGGATAGCCGTGAAGGCCATTTTCTTTTCTAACCCGCTCATAAACAGCTAGACCGAGCCTGATCGATACCATATTTGGAAGATAAGAGCAATACCGGTATACTATCGAATTGCATGATGGTATATTTCTCCATATCCATACCAACCATGATATATTTCTCCATATCATCTTCCGAATATGGTAAACACCAGTTGTTAAGCTTTGAGCCAATCAGAGACGGCGAAATATTTTGAATGAATGATAATATATATTATAGTTATTTATAATTAGTTAATTAATTCAATTAATACAGATATGCCCACCGTTTTTCCAGGCTTTTTTAAACACGCGTATTAATTTCCTTCACAGTCATTTTAACTCAAGAAGACTTGCTGTCAATCTCTCTTCAATGCGCGTCTGGTATGGAACATCTCCAAACTCTGAGGTTTGTCCACAGAGATGTCGCTACACGAAACTGCCTCGTGGGTTCGGGCATGATCGTAAAGATCTCCGACTTTGGAATGTCAAGGGACATCTATGCTTCCGACTACTACAAGGTGAGTCGGTTTTCGTAGACTGACAGACTGCTTGAAATCTCTCCATGCCCATTCTTCGGGCTCAGTTGTGTGATAGTCTGCTTGAAATCTCTTGTCAATAGACTTTCTCCATACCCGCCATCCGCCTCTTTGCTCCCGCTTTAGGGTTAATTGGATAAAAGCAATGTCAGGTGGTTTCTTATGGGGTAAATATATGATAAAAGCTGCCAAAACGAATTATCGCGGTTGAGTTTGCTTATTTCCTGAAAACTACACAACGATTTTAGTCAGATGGAGTTTCGATACGTTTTACGACAACAGTGCTTACTGTGAGAACATCTACAATCGATACTGTATCTCAAAAAAGGAACAGTGATGGCTTTCATCCATAGTTTGCCATCGTCGATTTTCTGCTGTCCAGAATAAACAAACTCGATCGCGATTTCTTGTATTAGCAGTTGCCCCCTGAGAAACCACAGGAAATTGCTTTAATCCTGTATTTTTAAAATCCCATCAGTCTTTAAGCGCGTACAAAGATGGCGGATATATATATCATGATTAAGGTCTATTAGTCGCAGTGGAAAGCCTTCAAGAAGAAACTAATCAAGGTAACGGGCACAAGAAGGAAGTGCCTCGAAAGTCAGTTAAGACCCGTACACAAGAATGTAGTACATTTTTTTTTATAAATTATCGTAACTAAAAAGAGCCATATGTACCTAACATCTATTCAAGTTGTTTTATTACTCAATTTTGTTACGGACAGAAGATTTTTCATTGAAACATAATCATAACTTATCCCTGATAAAATGACATTCTCAACCCTTCACGTTTTTCCAAGAGCGATTTTGAGAACTAAAATTAACCGACTATTTTACGGTCTTAAATATTAGGTAATAATGTAATTTGAGGCTGCCTTATATTTTTTCAAAATGTGATCATGGAAGAAATAATCCCAAATAAAACAAAAAAGCTGGAAAAACATTATCCACCCCCGGTGGGACTCGAACCCACAACCTTCGAATTAGAAGTCCGACACGCTAGTCCATTGCGCCACGGGGGCGACACGAGCATATAACTTTGTAATACATCTAAAATTTTAATAAAATTGGACATTTTTTACTCTGGGGTAGCAAAATATTTACAGTTCTTTCATCAATAACGTGCTATGTACCTGCTTACTTAGTATAAAGTACCAATTTGTTTATATAATTAGTGTCCAGTTCAGTTCAATTAACTGCTAAAACGATCGCAGAAAAAAATATTTTTTTAGCTAATTAAACGCAGCAAAAGCTTAACAAACGATACTTAAATATATATATATCTTTTACACGCTCTCATCTTTTTTATGAGCTCTGAAACCTTCGCTCACCCTGAAAAATTTTCGTCACTCTTTATCTTCTATATTTCTCAATCGTTCTCATATCCCTCGCGCACTCTCATATCTCTGACGAAAACGTATAGATTGTATTGATTGTATTGCTCTGAAGTTTGGGGAATCTATGATAAAAGTGATTATAGCCGCTGGGATAAAGACTTGATTGAGAAAACGCATATACATTTTTGTAAGATGTGTTTAGGTTTAAACAAACGTTCACCGAATGTTGCATCGAGAAATGAGCTTGGTATAGATTATCTCTAAATTTACAAATAACAATGAACATTTTCAAATTTTGGATTCACCTTGAAAATCAACCCCCTGACAGCATCGCTAAACTCTGCTTAAACATATCGGATAAAATGGCCGAAGAAAATAAATCAGGTCTAATAAATAAAATAAATCTTTTGAGTACACAACTTAATATTCATAAACAGTCAGTTAACTTTAAAAACCCTTCTACTTTCCTATCCAAAGCTGAGAATACTTTGTCAAAACATCTGAAAAACCACCAGCTAAATTTGATAAGAACAAATAAAAAACTAAAATTCTACTCCATCTTTAAAAATGAAACAAATCACTCTGAATTCATCAATCATATCCGGAATCCTGAACATAGGCGTGTAGCTTCCAAATTTAGGATAGGAAATCATAATTTAAAAATAGAAACTGGAAGATTTACAATCCCCAAAACTCCTGAAGACCTTAGAATCTGTGATCATTGCAGCCAAAATTCGGTTGAAAATGAACTGCACATATTATTTCACTGTGATCAATACAATGATTTGAGAAAGACTCTTTTTATTAAAATCAACGACCGAAATACATTATTTACACATTACAATATCCATGGTAAAGTCTGTTTTCTTTTTAACAATACTGATTCACATATCAGCAGGCTATAGCTGCTAATTTCATCTTTCAAGCATTTGAAAGACGAAAGAAACATAGTTAATTCTACTATTCCATCATACCTGTATTTCCTTAAACTTAGCTGTTTATTATTGTTATTTTAATCGGTAACACCTGTACAAAATGGTAATACTGAATAAACTTGTTGTTGTTGTTGTTGTTGTTGTTGTATTTCTCAAACTTTCTTATATTTCTGGTCACTCTCATATCTCTGATGAGAACTTACTGGATTTCTCAAGCGTCCTTACATCTCTGCGCACTCTCATATCTCTGACGCGTCCTTACATTTTTTAGCCTGAGAAAACAGCCAACATTTGGTGGCGCTACCACTGGTTTCCCCGCCAAATGACGTCGGAGAAACTGGCGCAGAAATTCCATACTGATGACGCGTCACTACCCAGATCAGGGTAGTGCTTCTGATTGGTCGTGCCGTATGGGAAATTTGATTCAACCAATCAGAAGCGCTACTCAGGTCTGAGTAGTGAAGCGTCATCAGTATGGAATTTCTGCGCTCGTTTCTCAGACGTCTTTTGGTGGGGAAACCAGTGGTAGCGTCGCAAAATGTCGGCTGTTTTCTCAGGCTATATATTTTTAAAGTGTTTTCATCTCTCCCACACTCTCATGTTTCTGACGCGTTCTCATACTTCTCAAGCGTTTTCATATCTTTCACACGCTCTCACACATCTCACATCTCTCTTGCATTCTCATAACTCACTCGCGCTCTTATAACCTCTCATGCTCACACTTTGTCATTTCCCACGCGCCATTATACGTTTCACTCTCTCACGCATTTCTTACTCATCCTCACACTTCTCACGCACTCTCATATTTCCCTCGCGCTCTTACATCCGATCACGCTTGTTTCTTGCGCCTCTCACGTGCTCAAAGTCAACGATATTGCCTGGAAAAAATGCTATCAACAGAGGTAACATGCATCACTGACCCAAATATCGTTACAATGCATTCAGGTTGAGGGACAAGCTGTTTTACCGATCCGATGGATGCCCCCAGAGGCCTTGCTGCTGGGAAAGTTTACAGTGGAGTCGGACATTTACTCATTCGGCGTCCTCTTGTGGGAAATCTACACCCTTGCATTACAGCCGTATTACGGATATACAAATGAAGAAGTTGTGGAATTCATTAAAAAGGTTGGTGGGAGCTTTTGATTCGGAGCTAACCTCACTTGACCGAGTTGGAGGAAAATTTTGGCCGTGGACCCGCCAGCGAGCAACCCATTCTTTTCGAGCTCTGTGGGCTCTGCTGCCAAATTTGTTTTCGAACTCACAAGTGAACCTGCTCGCAAGCCACCTTTTAGGGGCAAGATGGAGAGGGGTGGTACGATTTGGTCTTTTCTTTTGATAATAGCCTATCCTGGGAGTACTCGCCTCAAAGATTGAATCATATTGTTTGTTTTCCACTTCAACAGCAGACGTGATGTTTTCCTTCCTTTAAATAGTGTTTTGTGGTGATGTATGCTCTCTTAATTGTCCGTCTTCCCCCCATACTTCCAGGCTCGGTCCCCAGCCCGGTTCTTGATGCGACCCCGGTACTCCCCACTTGACGCTGGTCGGATGGAGAGTACCGCGCGCGCATAGGGACTCCCAAGGCCTGAGACTGAGCTTACCTTGCTTTCAGTTGGTATATGAGGATCATTCATGGCGTAAAACATCATTTAAGGTGGCTTCATCATTAATACTGGAGCAGTTAGTTGCGACAAATTTTCCGTCATCACTTTTTCGTTTTTAACGCGATGGCTATGAAACTTTGCAAATAACCACGGAAGTCATTAGGTAATAATGTGAAATATTCCCATTTCATTAAGAAACGTTCCAGATAAGAACGATAGCAACAACGGCAACGAACATGGTGGAATGCAAAAAAAGGTGCTAACTTTTCTATTGTCTGTTACTTACTTCTGATTGGCTTAAACAGCAAAAGTTAACAAAACTTCATAAAGCGGTACATATATTCATCCTTACTTTGAAACCATCTTCCATATAACAAAATCTGGTCTCAGTTTGAGTAACAAAGAAATCCTATGTGGGGAACATGTAAAATTGTAAACTTTTCTTGGCTATTGTTTTAAACTCTTGTGATTGGTCAAATCTTTTAACACAAAAAAACACCCTTTCACAGTGGAGTGTAAATGCATTTTATTGCGTAAACGGCCTTCATGTAGGTTTATGCATTCTCTGTGTAAAAATGAGAACATTCCCATGTGTAGAAAACACTGTTGCCGTGTAACAAAAGAAATTGCTTTCCACCTTACCCGGTCATTACTTAATGGTAAATATTTCTTGAGAAATTAGCGCTTAAAAGGACTCTACTGTTCAAAGAAAATCGCGTCTAGTAAAAAAATTTGCTGATATTTTTTACTGACATTTCTGGTATCGGCTTTTATTGATATAATAAATATGCCGGAGAAATTTCAGAAAATCGTTGGAGCAGTAGTCCGTAACTAAAAGTCGCTCCAAAATCAGCTGTGAAATTGTTTTGGAATTTCAAAAATAAATTAATATCAGGTAGAAGGAGACACCAGTTTGAATTTTCGGGACAAGTAAATTCAGTGTTTGCTAATTCTTAAAACAAAAGGCGATTGCCTATCGTGCCATTCTTTAAAAAGCACTTTTTAGTTTTAGAAGCACTATAAATTGCTCCAAACCTTGCTCTGACGTCGAATGACTTGTTCCTTGACATTTTTAAAATATCTCTCGGCAGTTTTGGTTCAAACTCTTGCTACATACATTTTGATGTATTGCTATTCATCCTCAACGGCTTTTCCTGCTGTACTTGCTTCCAATTTAGGAAAAAGGTACTGGGATTATAAGCTACCTCGTATTGAAACTCAGATAGAACTGTCCAGCACCTTAAATAGTTTATGACCAGAAAATGAGCACGAGCGGCAGCTCTGGGAGGAATTCGCACCTTAGCTAGTATAGGGGGGACGAATGACAGTGATGCTCATGTCTGCGAACCGATCTGTATAAACATGTATTGCAGAGCAAAACATAATAATCAAGAAAAAACTACCCACTCATTGAAGGAAGGAGTGACAAAAATTTCAGAGTTTTAAATTTATTCATGGGTAGTATTTTTGCGATAATTTTATTTTGCACTGTGATGTAATTCGGTTCACAGGCATGGGCATCATTGTCATTGGTCCCCCCTGGGTGAGGAGCGAGTTCTTCGCAGAACTGCCACTCGTGCTCATTTTGTAGTCATAAACAGAGGTGCTGGACAGTTCTATCTGAGCTCTGATACGAAGTAGCGTCCAATCTCAATACCTTTTTCCTGAGTTGGAAGCAACGAACAGCAGCCGTTTTTTCAAAAATGTAACGAATTTTACAGTCATTTGAGTGAAAAGGCGTCCAAAGGTAGGTTCGGTTGATCTTGTTGGGCCCGAGCTGATACAGCTGATATTAGCTTCAAAATCACACCAAGGAAGGAAAAGAAAGAGCGGAGAGGAAAAAAGGAGGAGGAGTGAAAAAATAAAAGCAGCGGTTGAACTCGTAGTTTTTGTAATGGCTACTATGATGGCTTCTTTTGGCCTAAAAAATAAAAACTGTAGACAAAATCATTCGTTTGACCAGGGCCACGGTTTGGCTACATCGAGTATATATTAAATCAGGTTTAGCGTTTTAAATTTTACCGACAATTCGCTAGTTATAAGTAATTAATGAAATGAAGGAAGTTACAAAATATAGAATTGACCACAGATGTTCAAACGATCATTTTTATTGCAAGTGATAAAGAGTTTGTCGAAATATGACGTCATTATAGATTTAAGTAGTTACGATTTAACGTGCGGTATCAGCTTTGACTCCGTGGCGCAATGGTAGCGCGTCTGACTCCAGATCAGAAGGCTGCGTGTTCAAATCACGTCGGGGTCAGTTGAATTTTTCTTTTCCGTTTTTTTAATCATTCTCTATAATTATTACATCTGAAACTAAAACTTTCATAACTGATTTGTTATTATACATTTTCAATAGAGGGAAAAAAAAATGATATTATGCAACGTACATTTTTATAGATATTGCTCATATTGTGATTTTTTACGATGCAGAAACGCAACTTTAATACCTGCCAACAAGAGAGGTAAATAAAGACACGAGAATTTTTTTCATCTGTGTGGATAATCAAAAACAGCAAAAACGACGCGTGTATGGATGTAAAATTCATTTTTGATCGAGCTGAAGCCGATAAAATGAGAAGAGACTGGGAAAGAGTTGATCGATCGAGGACAAAAGCGAGCGAAATAATAATAATAAAAAAAGGAATGGAAAACACGATTGTCTATTTTAGTTGAGTCAAGTTTCTCAGCGCATGTAGGAGCCTTATAGCGTCTGGCTTACTTGTTGATGTCATGCAGCTTTCAGAACAACCTCTTTCGAAGGGACGAGTAGGAGAGAACCCTGGGATCGAGGTTGCTTTCAGAAGCAATGGTTCGGTTTTATGATTTCTTTCTTTCTTTTTTATTCTGAAAAAAAGAAACCTTAATCACGAATAATATGGTGGAATACGTACTGAGCAAAATGTTGAGAAAAAAAAAAAAAAGGAAAAAAAGACTACACCCCTGGTGGGACTCGAACCCACAACCTTTGAATTAGAAGTCCAATGCGCTAGTCCATTGCGCCACAGGGGCTGGTTGAGACTTCAAGTGGAAAATTTAAATCTATATTTCAATATTCCTTTAATCTAGACCGTGAGTCCATGCGCGGCGATCGATCCTTGCTACTCTCCTTATCGTTAGGTCTAAAAGTAATAAATGTTGATGGAGATATTTCGCAGAATCCCACTCACCATCTTATGCCCGGCAAACAAAATCGATCAAAATTTCCACTTTCCGCAGTTCGGCCATCGGCATCGAACGAAATTTATTGGAACCCCGAACGAAATTGAACGAAATCGAATTATATGGAACAAAATCGAATGCTCATGGGTTCGATATTTAGACAAACAAAAAAGTGATATTTTCATGTTTAGAAATGGAAAACCAGGGTAGAAAACTTATCGGGGGGAGAGGAAACTGGAAACTAGCCCCCCCCTCCCCCAAAAAATATTCGCACAGGGTAAATTAAATGGAAAAAAAAGTCATGCACGCCAATTAACCCTAAAAAATATTTGTTTTAAATCGCCTAAAAAAATTGATACAAGGAAAATGTTGGCGCCAAAAAATTCATGCGGCTCGAAAATTCCTCATCCCCCCATAACTTTTCTAATGGTCCGCTCATAACTAAGAATACAGAGAGAATATGGACATACTGTAATAAGAGTAAGACTTACGACCGAGCCACTGAATTTAAAAGCGAAGTCGCTTTATGCTACTCTTAACTTTATCGTGTTTATTCCATCTCGTTCAATCCGGTCCGTTAAATGTTGGCAAATTTTTCCCGAGCTGGACTTGACAGAATCGAATTCTAAAAGATTGCGTCGAAGTTCTTTTCTACGCGCTGCTCAGCACTATCCGAACGCCGCTTGGAACAGGCTGAAGCTAAAAGGCCTGTATATTGTTTTGTTTTGCCGTCCTCGGCAGGGGTTCTAGTTCCGCCGTCACCGTCGTCGTAGCAAGGTTTCCTGAAGCAACAATCAGCAAACTAGACTACAAGTAGTCCCCCATTTTTCCTCAGAGATAGTAGAGCGAGCGAAACGCGAGCGCGCGTGAGAATCACTTTCTCTCTCCCCGCCGCGTGTCGCCTTTTCTCGCGTGGGATGATTTTCACGCGCGCTCGCGTTTCGCTCGCTCTACTATCCCTGAGGACAAATGGGGGACTATTCGTAATCTATCAGAAAACTGCTGACTAGAATTTCTTTGTTCCTTCAGGGTGTGCACCTCGGACAGCCGGATGATTGTCCCGATCACGTGTATCAAGTAATGAAGAACTGCTGGTACAGAGATGCGTCACAGAGACCAAACTTTACTCTGATCATAGCTCAGTTAAAACAGGAAGATACCACCCAATATGAAGAGTCGTCGTCACCAGAGTCACCCATCCATGACAAGCAGCCCCTGTACCAGAATATTGGGGTCTCCCCGGATTTGTCAAAGAGTGAGTTACGGTAAATCCTCTATTAAGCCCGCCGGAGGAGTTGGGGGGCCATTCAAGTTTGAGTGGGGGAGGGGGTCTAGGCTCGTTTTCTGCCGTCTGCCTGGTCCTGTCTTTATCATGAGTGCGGGCTCATTTTTCCAAACAGCGGCTGGTAATCGGGGCCCTTGATAGAGAGAGCTGCTTATTTATTTATTTGATTGATTGATTGATTGATTTAGCGAAGATGATGGTAGACTGCAAAACAGTCCGTATTTTTGCGTATTCAAGTACGCGCGAGAAGTCAAACAAAAGGTCTGCAACAAAGCTGAAAACAAAGAGCGAGGGGCGTGTGAGGCTCGCGCGCTTCGCGCGCGTATGATTCTTACGCCACGTTACTGATTTTGAGAAAAAACCGACTGTTTTGCAGTCTACGATGATGGTATCAGTTCTCGATAAGAACTATAAAGCATTATTTTAAAGCTCAAGCACAAATATAAAGTAGAGGTCATACAGCCGAAGATTAAAAATCAGTAACAAATCTGAAATTCCAACAACGTGAAGAAAGCAGACCGGATGAGTCCACATGAAGTGTTACAGGAAGGTGAAGGAGCACCCTTAAAAGAGAGGGGACTTATTAATTTTCTGCCTCTAAAAAGGGGAAGGCTTATATGAGAGGGGCTGAAATAGATGATTTATAGCCTGCGAAAACAGTCGTTACTCCTCGCTCCTAACCGCTCGGGTCGTTCTACCAGGCGAAACGTACCAACTGCAACGAGGAGTTTGGGGAGAGGGTTATTTTTCGCAGGTTAGATGATTTAAGGTATAAAATGTATATAGCTGGTTGAGTGGGCCGGAGGTGGTCCGTGATCTAAGGTCCTAACTTTAGGCCTAACTCTCTCTTTTCTTTCTAGAGGAAATCCCCGAGTCGAAGCAACCTTTTGGCAGAAAGATTTCTCAGCAAGCACAAAGTAATCCCAAGGGTGTGACGCTTTCAACCCCTAGTTATATGAATGTTAACCCCGGTTACCATGGTTTCGAAGATGATGATATGGCTGAAGATTAAGGAATCTTGTAGGATTTAAAGAAACAAAACAAAACGAAGAAACAAACAAACAAAAAAAGACAATGACATTACCTCTAACCCTTGAAAGCCTTCCAGATGCTATTTAATTGCATTAATCTGGCTTAACTCTGTTTTAAATCCAATTTGTTGCTTTTCAGCTATATAACCTTTGAGTTTTATACACTCAGGAGCCCATCAATAGGCTCCTGATACACGAAGAAACAAACAAACAAAAAAAGACAATGACATTACCTCTAACCCTTGAAAGCCTTCCAGATGCTATTTAATTGCATTAATCTGGCTTAACTCTGTTTTAAATCCAATTTGTTGCTTTTCAGCTATATAACCTTTGAGTTTTATACACTGAATTATTTTTTAGCACACACATCTTCTGAAATACAGTATATACGATATATGAATGCCAAACTTCTCCTACTAGTAAAATTATCAAGACATCGACCCTTTTTATGTTTCAAATGGCGAAAAAAAAATCTCGAAAAGAGAAATGGAATGTTATTCAGAACTCATTAGTTTTGCAGTCGTAGTGTTTAATTGTTGTGCGTAGATTTGGTAACATATCTGACAGATCAAAATGAATTTGGGGCAAATTTTGCCCTATAAATCTGAAGTAACGGTTAGGGTCAGTGGGGTACACTACTTGTGGCTAAGACAACAATTCAGGGGACAAAGCTCAAGAAGTTAATTGATCGAGGATTCGAGAACGTCTAAGAAAGTTCATGTGGAATCGTTTATAGATAGCAAAAAATAACCGTAAATGCTCGATTAAGCGCCCCCCTTCAAATGAGGCTCCCTTGCTTGAGGCTGCAAAATGTTTATGGAACGCCCGCCGAACGGGTACGGGAGGGGGGGGGGAGGGGGCGGTTACTCCGGATTCAAGTGACAGAGATGGTGACATGGACGATCGAATGAGGGAAAAATGAAAAACGGAAAAAAAATCCGTAGGGCTTCAAACTAAACCCAAAAAATCCCTGGACCAAAAAAATTTAACCCCAAAAATATCCCGTGACTAATTTCCGAGCCATAAAATATTTCCAGAGAGCGTGAAAAACCCGAAAAAAGTAAAAACTTGTAAGAACTTGCAAGTGATGGGCTCCTGATACTTGCCAAAATTTTTCCTACCCCCCTCCCCCCCAAAAATCCCGAAATCGAAAATTTCAAACCCCAGAAGATCCTTCGATCATCCCTGTCACTTGAAATCCGAAGTGACCCCCCCACCCTGGGGTCCCTCTAGTCTCATTCTCAGCCGCTCTGGCCGGAGTCACGCAATGCTCCCCGCGGGCCGACCCCGTGGGCACGCTTCTCCACGGGGGACGGGGCTCCGGCGTGACTACCGCCCTTCTTTCGGCTCGGAAAGTTGAATAAACGTCCCGGGCGCTAATTCCAGCACTTACAATGTAGTTTAAATCATTCACAAACTCGATTGTACCTAAATCAGTTATAGTTAGAAATTTCAAAGAACTGTAACATGATTTCAAAATTATCAGTAATTAATTAAAAAGGATATTTTTCGCAGTATGGGCTCAAACAATTAATTCCCCCATTGTCGTGGACTCTGCTTTGCAGACAAAATCGAAGGGGAGAAAAGATTAAGAAATTAAAGCATGCTTGTTTGTAAAATGTGCAGAAAGTCTTCTATAAAAATTTGTAGATTATAAAATGCTCTTTTTATATTTTCAGAAATATGAAACTTGTGGTTTATATTTAACAAACCTCTTAATACTTGACACCACCTCATTGTGCTGAGATTTGGTTACGCATGAGTTCCATAAATGAGTACTAAATGAGATCTGAACAGCTCTGATGTTTAGATTGCATTTAACAATATTTTATTGCAGCGGAGCTTCCTTGTTTTTAAATTTCGGGTTACGTGAAGCTGCAGAATCATCAAGCTTCACTTCATGTGAGAAAAGATCATTTCGTGCGCAAAAGTAAGAAGATAGCTCTTCACCAAACGCCATGATTCCACGCGTTTTGTCACTGACTTTTTCCGCTATGTTCTTCGTTCAGTTTGCGGCTACAGAGAGTGAAAAAGGTAATTAGTGATAAGAGATTACTCTAAGTGCTTTACGATACTTATATACCTCACTTACGAAAGCCTATATTAAGAGGAATCTGGCTTTCTAAACCAAAGTGTATTTTGAACCAACAGACTGAATTCACCTCAACCTATCAATTACCCGCTAGAAATACGCAATGCCTCCCTTCGGATAAAAGGTTTACTGGCATAAGGATTTTATATAGGACTTTTCTTTGAAAGACAGATCGTTTAAAACACTGGTTATGCAGACAGGATTCTATATATTATATGTGTTTGGAGAGAGTTACGAATTATGAGCATTGTCTATGTGTTCCTATATTCCGAGGAATGATTTCCGGCATTAATAGCGTAAACCATCTCGACTGTTTCAATTGATTTGTTGAACGAAAGTGAAGTAATCCATTGTAGACATAATTTTTTTTAACGATTTGTAGTAGGTCTTAGTAAAAGACACATTATGCTGGATGATCAATTTAAGACTGAAAATAATTAAGGAGATGTTTGTGTAAAAGGTGGTGATTGAAGGAAGAATTGGAGATATGAAATGAAACTGGGCGTGAAGAGAGAATACCGTAATTAAATTCTTTGTCATCCAGAAAGATAATCTGTTTTGGCAGGCCTGATCAAGTACCCCGGATTTAGAGCCTAACGGGTCACTACTGTCTTGTCGGCCAGGTTATAAATACTACAGTTGTTTTTTTTACCACGATCAGCGGGTTCGTTTCCTGTTTTCCACGAACACCTTAACTAAGCAGAAATTGTTGGTCATAATCTATTTTTAAACTTATCTTCTTTATGGGAAAAGGAAAGCAATAACTCACATATGCATCTATATTATCACATAAAAGAACACGAAATGAAGATTATTGAAGATAAGATTCACTATTCCTATTAGTAGTCTACCCATAAACGCTACAGTTTTTGCGTTATTTTAATTTAAACAGTCTAAGTTATCTTCTTGGAGTCCGAGAATCAATGTAAACGAACTCTCACTGAGTTTAACCTGCGCGCGATCAGGCGTACTTCGGGGAAAACGCGAAAAGTCAATTTAACAGCTTCCGTCCACGCTTGAACGAAGTCTCAAGGGACAAGTCATTAGTCCCACGAAGAAATTGAATTTCAATTTAAAAGTTGTTATTTGTTGTTTTCAAGTAATCAATACTGTAATTTTTAGTGCATTGACATCGTACTTCGTATAAACTTGAAAACACTACGACTACGATGTACGAGTTTTTTTTAATGTACTAAGCAAGTGGCCCGGGGCAAGTGGTGCTGGTGCAAAACCAGCAGGGTATTTAAGCGACAACGACGGCTACGGCTTTGCGCTGCCTCAAACTTTATCGCGCTTATTCCATCTCGTTTAATTCGTCGAATGTTGGCAAATGTTTTGGAGTTAAATCCTAAAGGATTCTATCAAATTTCAAGGAAGAAAAAGAAAATTGTTGCTAAAAACGGCTGTGTAGCAGACTATCTTGTGCTCGACAAAACGTGAAATAAGGCAGGTACACGTTGTGGTCGTGCAACGACGGCTAAGAAATGTACAAAAAAGCGTGATGCACGTGCAAAGTTGTTGTTTTGCCAATCTAAACCTAAAGCTTTTTTGCCGTTCTCTGTGCCGTCGCCGTTGTCGTTGCTTTTAAAGCTCCCTACTGTCATTTGATGGTCGTCGTCATTCTACTACGGGTTTTAGCGCGAATGTCGTAGTGGCGAAAACGAATTATGAAATGTTAGAAGATTTAATTAAGATAACAGTGCTAAATTTTCATGAAAAAAACAAGAAGTAAAATGAAGTTTTCCTGGGTTTCCATTTTTGAGAATACGCGAGAAAACTTAAAAGTCAAATCTCGTACTTGTAGTTCTTCGCGTCCTCGAATCTTAAGGCCTCAAATTACTTGGCTTTTTTGTCTCAGTTTTCAAAAATCTTTTATTATTATTATTTATTCTCTTTACTCCAGGAATGAACTGTTCTTTGATGCTTCTGCAATCCCAAAAACATTCTTGTGGCCTGGTTGATGACAAGGTCACCTGCGGAGAACTGGGCTGCTGTTGGAATGAAAGTGAGGCTAATTCTCATCTTAAATGCTTCAGCAAAAGGTAATCATAGAAGTCAGCCCATGGTTATTGGAAAGTTTCGCTTGTTATAGTCGTAGCACTTGAACACTAAGTTAGAAGAAAAAACAAGGCAATATGAACATCCATGGCAATTTTCCAAGGCTGATGTGGTTATGGCTTAGAGGCCTTTGCATGCGCTTGGCTTTCTAGGTCTGTCTGCTGGAGTCTTTCAGTGATCGATTATAGAGCGAAGAGAAAACGTCACATTTGGAGATTGATAAGTGTCACAATTTTGTCTGGAAATACTTTACATACGCAATTTTAAATTTTTTTTAAAAATCTTCACTCATATTGAAACTACAACTTTTGTTGCAGAACTACTCCACTGCAGAATGGTACAACATTATCATGTTTACACTACGAAGGACAAATTTGTCGAGACATCTTCTCCACAAATCTTTCTTCGTTAAGCTCATTACCAAGGCTTCACAGTTCAGAACAAAACTCTGTGGAAAGTGTACTTCAATTCGCTATCACAGCCATTAACCAACTTGTGACGCATCATGAATGTAGTGTTGCGATGACTATTGCGCTGTGCCACTACACTATGCAACTTTGTCCCTCAAACAACAGTGTCACCGCGCACTTCTGTACCAGCGAATGCAATGATTTGTACGTTAAATGTGGTCAGTTTATTCTGCAACTTGAGGAATATGTGAATAACATTCCAAGGGACGAAGAGTTTTCATTCCCTCGTTGCTTTGAGCTAAATAACGCTTCTGAGTTTAGAGTGTCATCAAATGAGGCATGCGCTAAGCTTGGCCTAGGTCAGTACAAAACTATCTTGTGTATTATAGTAAGCTTTATCAGATCGACAACTCCTCAACTATCTGCTTGGAACCACTTACTTTGTATTATTGTGACCTTATCACTTTTAATGTTCAAACATAGCTGTTTACGAAGGAACGAGGAAGTAGGCAGTTTGAGGAAGCGAGCCGCGCTCAGTTCCTCTAGCAACCTTGCTTGATTTCAAAAGCAGAAGAAGATCGGGCCATGGGGGGAGTCGAAAGAGCAGCGCAAGCAACCCAAGCTCCACAAACAGCCCAAACATACAAGCAAAACACCACGAAGCTCTGATCAGGAAATTTCAGTGAAAATCCAGTCCCTTTTCGAACCCCTTGGGGTTTTGTGTCACCCTTTCCTGTAGAAATGAGGTTTCGAAAGAAGCAAAAAAAATTAAGGGGAAAAGATATAAAATGGAATTTCGACGTGCCTTTTTTGTCTGTTTTAGTTTTCTTTTTTTCTCACGTGGTCACTGATTACTAAAATTTTAAATCAAAGGGAACGTTTCCTAACTTCTTTTCACTCTAATGCCGGTTCTTCTAGTTTAGACTATACACCCATCCCTGAAGACGTTTTAATTAAAATTATGCTTTCTCTTTGTATTTTCTCAAGAATTTTCGCCATTTTCTTCGACGCAAGCTTCCCCGGAAAGAAATTTGCCGTATGACGCTCCGCTTTTGTCAGGTATGTTGTGGACTGCGCAATTGATTCACAAGCCAGTCCTTATCTCTTCGAGCAAAGCTCGGAAAACCACAACTCATCTTTGTGAAAATGTAAAAGACACGCGCACGTTGCCGGTTGTAGTCAAGGCAAATGATTACTGTATACTAAAACTAACCTCCCCTCCCCTCCCACACCCGTCGGACAAGCCCCCGCATGATCGTAAACCGGTTTCACTCGTTCGTGCTGCTTGACTCCAGTGCCCAGTCTTTCTCATCGGTGTATTGTTTCCGGTTCAATAACCTTCGTGTTTGTTACCTACCGTATCTGCTCATTTCCGATTAGTTGTGTCAAGTCATAGTTAACGAATTCTCGTTGAGCATGCTAACTTCCTGGAGTAGTAGAGAATAAGCTTGGATGCTGGTTTTCTCGAAGAAAAGGCTATTATATTGAAACTCTGAATCGACAACGGCGGGATCTGGTTGTTACAGAATCCGTAACCAATTAACTGTCTAGCTGGTCGTCGCTGGCCTTACCGTAACATAGCTAAGCATGGAGAAGTTTGTACAACATTTTGTAGGATTATTTCTGTTAGGATTATTCACGTCTTGTGCGCAAACTGAAGGTAAGTCCTTTATACTCTGCAGTGTCGTTTTCTAGATTGCTAAGCGTTATTGTAGTGGTTAACAAATCTTGTCTTATGTCGCAAATTTACGGGACACAGAAAATGAGCAAGTGAACATCGCGCACGTCCTGTTATCGATTGACGATCGCTTCATTCAGCAAGAACTTACGTGATTATAAATGAAATTGCCCTTTTGTGCCTGAAAGAAGGATAATATCGTCTAACAGAGAAATCTTTTCTGAGCCATCCCTGCAATCGGAGATTTAAATATTGCGAACTTCGTCTTACACGATCACGCGATGAAATCAACAAACCCGTGCATTGTAACACATTAGTATCTAATAGATTTTAGCTGGTTTTATCAGTCAGTTAGGTTTTGCTGGTCATTAGTTGCGTTTTATTGGAATTTTTTTTCCCTGCTTGCGTGGCAGAACGGTATTCTCAATCTTCGCTCAACATGATCTGACCTTGAGTAAAGTACATGACGTCGAAATGGACAAGGTGCAATATCCATTTACCAGGAGAAATATATCTTAGACGATATCACTTCTATATTTGGCCTTATAAACAAACTCAAGGTTTCGGAGCTGAGTCTACGCTTTTTCTTGTACAGTTATTCCTTGTTTTGAGTCTCCACGGCGTTTTTGCTTGCATCGCTTCGCGTGGATGAGTTATTAACTATTGAATCTTTTGTTTGTATTTGTTAGTGGATTGCAATATCGCATAATTTAAGATTGAGACAAAGAAAACAATGATTTAAAATGCAAATCTTTGTTTTGCAAAAGAAGTGTTACACTTTACAGGCCAGACTTTCTAGTAGGTAGAATTTATAGGTGCGCTCGGATGAGACAACTGGAATAGAATATGATATATTTCCGAACTTTCGAACTTTTCGGTATTATGTCCGGGGATGGAGCAATGTCACGTCTTTCAGGGATCGAATGTTTATCTTTCCCTTTCGTCATGTCAGTACTGCAAAATCGTGTTCCGGTTTTCCTGTGACAAGATTTAAATAAATCGTGCTTTTCTTCGAGACAAATTCTTAGAATGAGTCAACAGAGTGCGGGTTTCGTTTCCTTTCCATCCGTGCTGTTTAACGCGGCGTAAAAAGGAATTTTCAATTTCTGTTATGGGTTTGTACGCTCTGAAAGCCAGGTTAATTTGCGGTATAGTGGCAAAGTACTTTAAGTGCGATCGACACACCCATTCTAACTAACAGACCGTTTCTCTAAACCCCCCGGTGGTTTACTTGGAAATTTCTGTTGACTAAGAACGGAATTTCTTCATACTCGCAGATTTGACAAAACTCTCGTGCATTGAGAAAACGCCAGACAAATTCGATCCAAGCATGACAGTTCGTTCCCTCTCACTTCGCTATCTCATGAATTCGAAGTTTTAACTTTACCCAGTGGTTCACAAAGTTTATTTTCAGAACACAATGGGTAGAATTCGAGTTTCAGTAGTTCAGTAGTTAAATGAGAGGGGACAAAATGTCAATGTGGTCGCGGCATTGGAAATTCATTACATTAGGGGTTGTTTCAACAATTCTTTTTCGCCGTTGCAAAGAAATAACAACAAATAAATAAATAAATGAAAATATGGTTTGAGGACTCCTTTAGGTCTTTTCCGGGGTGAGAAACCAGTAAGGATAAAGTTTAAAAGTCAATTAGTCACGAGACAAGACAGATTAAAATATAGGGCTAACAAGTGATCTCGACACTGACTGCAATGACAAGTTCTGCTTGATGGCTTTTGAGGAAGTTTTAGTTTTGCAGCCAACAGTTATAATTTTTCATTTTTTATGCCTTATAACTTTTAAATGTTCGGCTTTTTCAGGGCGAAAGTTTAACAGCTACGGATACATATTAAAAAGATCCGTGTAATGATATTTAGCCATATTTAGCCAATGCAGCTGGCCGCGAATTTGAGTGAGACAGTTCAGTAATTGACATCGCAGTTGAGTTTAATTATGGTTGAATTAGAACTAGACGAACAACACCCCACGTCTTTTACACATTCGATGCGCTCGAACTTAAAAATTAAAAAAAAAAACAGAAAAAAAGCCGTTTTGGCTCGTAATAAAACTGCAAACATCGCAGTAATTTGAAGCAACACAATAAATAGCAGAGAAAATATGGGAAGCGCAAAAATGGAAAAGGAATAAACGGATTGCAATTACGGCTTTTTAAAAGCGATAACTCCAGCAGTCTTTTTTTCATACCGACAACGCTCCGCAGACTTTAGGGACCTTAAGCAAGGACGACGACGGCATTGAAAACGTCGGTAAAAAAACAATGAGTTTGCGTTCTTTCAATCTTAATCGCGTCTATTTGGACCCGCTCAATATGTCAAATGCAGGCGACTTTTCCTGGAGTTGAATTCCTAAGGATTTTATTCAGGTTAAAAAAGATGAAGGAAAATTCGTCGTCGTATGTTCACGTCCTCCATAAAACGGCAAATTAGGAGGTTTCACGTCGTACAGTGGACGTGAAAGAAATGTACTAAAAAGCGTGATGCACGTGCAGAGCTGTTGTTTTGATCCTTAAACCTATTGTTTTTTTGAAGTCGTCGTTGTGGTCGTCCTCGTAGTTGCTTAAGCTCCCTATTAGCCTGCCTTCAGAGGTCCGTTCAGGAAATATCCGTAGCTAGGATGAATTATACAGTGCAAGCGGTTTCATAAAGTTATTTTGAACTTCGCTTATAATTAGTGTGATTGACAATACTGAACATAATAGACTGGATTGACCTGACACACCCCCTTTTCTTTGGAACCCTCTTTGAGCAATCATGAATATGTAACTTCATTTATTTACTTATTTACCGGACGCTGGCCAAGTGATGTATTTGCACTTTGTTAAATACAGTGTATGGTTAAGTGTGATGAGCATTTTGAAACTAGTGAAAAAAGAAGTTTCGTCTAGTATGCTAGAATTTCATTCAAGGGCGATGCAAGCATGGGCACGTTCAAGCACAAAGATATGTCAAGCATCCAACTCAAAACATTTTCTTCTTTGTTTATTTTTCTTGTTGCTGATTTTGCGCTTGACTCTCGTCGCTCGATTCATTTCGCAAGCACGTAAGTCACACACTTCCACCTTTTGAAGTGTAAACGTGCCTTTGTGCTTGTGTTTGCTTTTTACTCGTACAGACCGGGACAAAACAAGTGCAAACTCAAGGTGACAATAGCCTGCAGAACAGGCGTTATTTTTTCGCGTTTTTTGGGCGAACGAAGCAGGAAGCAGGCGTGGAGCGCAAGACACACGCGACGGGGGAACGCGTTGTCGTCTGGTATGTTGGGATGTAGCTTGCTCAAACGGACTTGTGTACTCTGTGCTTGCGTTTGCTTCGGATGTGTGAACATCTCTTGTGCTTACGATTGCTTCGAAGATATCCTGGGCCAAAAATAAAAAACAAAACAAAACAAAACAGGGCAAGCAAATAAACAAGCGAACAAACAAAACCTAGAAAAAAGGTTATGGGCGTTTGCCTTGCACTCTTTTAGTTTTCGCTTTGTACCCACATTGTAGCTTGTGTCAGTCTACAACCGTCGTCATGCCTAATCTCGTATCCAGATCTCTTATCGGCAAAGTTCGTCTTTAATAGATCTGGGTATGAGATCACCGCCATGCCCTCCTCAATGCTTTGTCTTAAAACAGGGTTTTTTTCTCTATATTTTCAGTTGCGCGACACAACTGTTCTGCGATACAACCTGAGGAGAAAGTTGGATGTGTTCTCCCAGATCCTGAGAATCCAAATGCCACAGTTTGTTTATTTCTCGGCTGTTGCTGGAATCCAACTGAAGAAAACATAAAATTAAAATGTTTTACGAAAAGGTAGGTTTTATCTTTAAATGGAATCTTGAGGGGAGGGGGCCACTCCCTGTGCTGTGATGGTCTCTAAATATTGGCCGGTCATAAAGTGCAGCCCATTTTCCTTTCAAGTAAAAACACGGGTCGTACGCGTTGTGTAGCCCGCAGTGCAGGCGTATTTTGGGGGGGCGAAAGTAGCTTGCGTAGAAGTAGTGGGCGCAAGAAAGAACGAGCGCGCGAGAGGGAGACACGTGTTTTCCTCTCGCGCGCTTGTTCTTTCTTGGGCTGCTTGTTTATGTTCGTACTGTTGTAACCGCCATCTTTGATGTTATGACGGAGGAAGATTAGGGAGAGTAAAAATAGTAACCCTTAGGGTAGGTGCTGGGACGAAAGACTCGCCCCATGTTCTCCTCTCTTTTGGAGTTTCCACATGGCGCTTTCGCGAGCAAAACATGCGCGCGCCCGAAGAAAACGCCTGTACTGCAGGCTAGTCGCTGTGTGAACCGTGCTTATAACAAAAGGCTAAAGAAAAAAAAAAGCTGAATGTTCTGACATTTTGTTAGACATTATATAATATAAAAAACAACAACAACGGCAACCAAAACAAAAGAGAACCTTACCTTTTGTAGGCCACGTTTTGGATTATTTGTTATCCACGTGAATTAATGCCATTCTGTAAGTGAACAGTCCAGTTTCGAATTAAAAATCACCGCCGAATACCAATATTAACGACACATTCGTACAGGGTTAGCCTCTACGTAAAGTAAAATATTCAGAAATTCTGGCAAGTAAGTGTTTGAAATTTGAATATACACAATAGACAGAGTAATAAACAGGTCATTTTCTTGTTGGAATTTGTAAATATATTACTTCAGATGGAGGCTAAGGCTGTAAAAAATGCGTCTTCATTTCTATAATTCAGCGGTCATAGCGAACTCGAAAATGGGCTATTACAGAACAAACACAGTTTCATAATGTGAGTTTTTTCCTAAAGCTGCCGTCTTTTACATATCTGTTACTTACTGTTATGTGAACAGAAAAAATTATTGAAAAAGATCACCCCTGGTGGGAGTCGAACCCACAACCTTTGAATTAGAAGTCCAACGCGCTAGTCCATTGCGCCACAGGGGCTGACACATTTCCCATTCCTATTGCTTGAATAATAGGGAAAAAATGCGGTTTAGTTTGTGCCCCGGGGGGGTACTTTAGGGATTTTTGGGTGGGGATGTGCCACAGGGACCCGGGAACCCTTAGCCTATACTAGAGCTTGTTCAAGTGAATTTTGCTACCCTATACTAGACTAAACTCCCAAAATCCAAACCCCCCCCCCACCCCACCCCCTTATCCCAGAGTAGCTGTTTCCCAGAAACTACTGACGTCGCAAACACAGTCCAGCCAAAACAAAACCGATTTGATTTTTTTCATATTTTTGAGGGGCAATTCCCTGTACTGTTTCCCTAGTCTAGACTAAAATCTTCAACCGATTGATCAGTTTCCTGGAAAATGATACCCTATTCTAGACCTAAACTCTCTGATTTATATACCCTATCCTAGAGTAAACTGCTTGAAAACCATACCCTTCACAGCGGCACATACCTATATAGCCCATATATGGTACCCCCCCCTCCCCCGGGGATTGTGCCCTGTTACAACAACATTAGGGAGTTTAAGATACAACGACGGCGGCGAAATAGTCAATCAAAAAGTAACTTGTTCGCGGTTTTTGAAACTTCAGCGGCGCAATTATCCCAACTTGTTGACTTTGTCAAGTGTAGGCGAACTCTCCAAGGGTGAATTTCTAGGATAGATGTTTTAAGGCCTATTTTACATGGAGAAAACATGTCCAAGGTAGAAGGGTCACCCTTCCAGCCTAGTCAACTTTACTGAGCGTTTATATGCTCTAATTATCTCGCCTTGACCATGTTGATCCAGCGGGGCTCGGTGCCGGATCCAGACCTTGAGATAAGGTGTGTGGGGGGTGGGGCGGGGGGGATGTCTTCTTCAGCCTCGGTTATTTTGATTTTAGTGACTTGCAATTGTTTGCCATTTTCATATTCAAGGTCGATTTTTCGGAAACATATCTCATGACAAGTGCTGAAAATAGAGTTTCGGATCCTCCAAATTTAAACCTTTTCTGGGGGAGGATACCCCAGACGCCCCTACAGGGCTCGCGCCTTCGGCACTTGCGATTATGTGCCTCCCTCCCACCTCCCTATCCCCGTAACAAAAACCTACCTACGGCCATGAAAATTGTTGTTTTGCTAATCCAAGACCCCGTTTCCACGGGTGGTCTGAACAAATATTTGAACGGACAATAACCTGCACGAATCCACCTTTTATTTACACGGGACCCGCGAAACCGATCTCGTTTTTGAACCGCAAATAGTACTGCAATCTGTAACAGAAATAACACGGTTCCGTTTAAACGGGTTGCACAGATAAAAAAAATGCGTCCGTTTAAAAATTTGTTCTCACCCGTGTAAACATGGTCTAGCTTTTTTGACATAACTCTTAATTAAACTCCTTATTCCTCTTTCTCGTAACCGTTGCCGTCGTGACATAACTCTTAATTAAACTTCCTATTCCTCTTTGTCTACGTCTGACCTATTCTCTGTTTAATTTCAGCGGTGGCACATGCATACCTTATGCAGGAAAAGTTTGCCAGGAGTCAATAAACACAACACTCGGCTCTTACAGGAGCACTCCGCGTTTCATTGATAACAAATTTGGTCAGTCTGGTACTGAAGCATTCCTGCAGATGGGTACAAATATAATAAACAGATTTGTTAAAGATGACAGAAAGTGTCGGTATATTATGCACAACATGTTGTGCCAGTACACTTTACAGCCTTGCTACCCGGATAACGCGGTCGTGGAATACTGTAAGGAAGATTGTGAAGCCATATTCACAGACTGCCAGGAACCGCTTAATCAAGTTATTGGTGCTGTAAAGTTCTACGTGGAGGACAAAGGTCTTGATTTTGTACATACGGGGCTACCTGACTGTACCAAACACAAACCTGCTAAATATTTTGACAACTTGCCAAACAGGACGTGTATCAAGACTGGGTTCTTTAGTAAGTAGTCTTTCTTATTTGATATTCCTTTAGGCAGTTTTCAGACCTGGTTCCTGGTACAGAAGGTGCGAACACAACACCAGTGTGTGACGGTACCTCCGTACTAGTGGTACGGTAACAAGTGTAAACAGACCCTTCGAGTAGTTGTTGAAGACCAGATCTTTCAGTGGAACCCGGTTTAACATGGCCTAAGTATCTGTATTACCCGGCTATGCGTATTACGTCACGGAAACCTGTTTGATCGGTTCAAAGACTAAAAAAAAATCCACTTAATTAAAACAAAAACATTCGCTTGTTCGAGTTGTTCGCTCAGCGTTTCAAAGGCGTCCAAAAGCTTTTCGAGCCCGAAAAGTTACCGTAGCCTACACCACAGATGACGGAAATAAACTTCTGGGCCGAGTTGTTCAAAGCTGGGTTAAGATAACCCAGGGTTAGTGCGAGATTTGAATTCTGATTTGAAAGCTTAAAAAGCATTTTAGTTTTAATTCTTTTAGTCTATTAGTTGATGATTGGAAGTTCTAAAAACAAGACGCTGTGTGAGCGTATATTTGGGCGTGGTCGTACTATGGGTACGATACTTTGAACATGCCTTATTGCAGCTAAAAAACTGTCATCATATCTTACCAGGGAAGACAAATCCTTTACTCCACTTGTTTGCCGAACCACACAGCTTATACAGTATGTCCCAATCCACAACAAAAATAGTGTAACTTCACGACACTGTTTGAAAATATGCACATCTTCAATGCGGACATGCTTGGAGCCAAATTACAACATAGAACATAAGTGGTTACAGCCCAGAGAGTAAGGTTTATCTCAGCTCCACTGATACTGACAGATGTGTTTTCACACCCATCACTTTGTACAGTGTATTCCGGTTACTAACAGGGGCAAATAAAGTTCCTTAAGTCCAGTATCCACAAGGATTAATAAGAGAGTAACACATTGCATAAACTACTATAGGGCAGCACTGTTTACAGGAACATTGGTAACTACCGGTATTAACATTTGATATACTACAATTTTCAACATTGCTTGAGAAAAGATGAGGTTCAAAGGTGGCAATATGTACACCTTTAAGTTCATATATATCCTCATTCCTATGTAGAGTCTGAAAATATTGTACTAATTTATGCATGGATGGTATTTCCAACAATACACATGTCCCTTCACTATGACTGTTATGATACATATCTCTAGCATGAGAATCAAATGCATTATATCCCCCAGCCTCAGTGCTGTAGATACCAAGACCAATAATTGCCACCATTAAAATGAATGAGTTGTAGTTCAGTGCCAAGAGTGTTTCAAATGCTGTAACCTGTGAGTGGCATATACAGTAGTGATGGATGTTACAAGTATAACTGTCACTGTATTCAAGGTGGAAAAATTGCTCAAACACTGTAACCATTCCTGGCAATTCTGTTAACATTGACATAGATTGTCTTACAAGCAGTGACAGACAAGAATATAATTGAATACCAACAATCATTATTTGAGTCATATCAACTGAAATAATCTTTGTTATCTTACTGTAAATTAAAGCGCACAGACTCACTGCGACACATCGTTGTCCACCATTTTCCCCAAATCCTGTAACATTTCCTTGACAGTATGGAGCATTAATTGTTTTTGTAGCATCTACATAAACTGAAGGTCCTGGATTCTTCTCTATATGAGTACAAAGCTTAAATTGGCCAAAATTACCCGGTGATTCAAACTGTTTTAAGCAGTATAAAATGGATAATTACATGTACAGAGGGGCAAATTCTTACTTAGAAGCCTATTTGGATATCTCATTCCACCTAAATTGCCTGTGCTCTAATGCTTGGACGACAGATACACCTTCCCTCGTTTACGAACTAGTTTTGGAGGTGCCCCTTAAGTAAAACCCCACACTGTTACAGTTACTTCTGTACCTTTTTAAGTGTAAACCTTTTGTACTTTTAACATAACAATGAATTTCAGACGACAATGGTGTATTTTCCCGAATACTCTTCCATACAAAGAGTGTCACTTTCCGTGTTTTCTGTAACAAAGATTTTATTTTGTTCATTGGTAGTCTGCTAGGGGCATGACGGTAACCGGTCATTTCGTTCCATGGTCAGATCGTTGACATTGTTCCAAGTCAGATCCATAGGCGTACGGGCCGGGGGGGGCGAGGGGGGCTGCAGCCCCCCCAAATTTTGGGCAGCGAGAGAAAATTTGGGCAAAGCCAGTTCTTAAAGACGTCTCCATGTTTATTTAATTATTTTAAAGACCTGAATATTAACCTGAAGTCGGCGTAATAATCCAGTTACATTACAGTGGTTGCCTAGCATGTGATGAGTAATTTACATATTTGCAGCTTTTTTTTGTTGGTCACTATACTGTACTGCACTAGCTGGAATGGGCTATTTCTAGTTGTGAATTGATTAAAATAAACTTTCGCATAACTTTCTAGAATCATCTCAATTCGAAGAACGGTGTATGGCAGATAGCATTTAGCAATGGGTATTGCCTGCATAGCAAGCGTTTCCGCGCGAGTTCGACTGGAAACGCTTGCTACGCAGGTTACAATGGGTCTGAAAATGAAGAGGTGGCTGACTAATTCTCAGTCTGAATTACGAGAAGAATCTTAATTCTTTTAAAAAATCTATCGAGCGGTTTAAATTATTCGATAATTTGTTAAAGTAGACCAAAATGTTTACACTGTGAACCGCTAACAAGAGTGTCTCGATACATACTAATCAAATCCTTCTTTCGATTCTAGCAATCAAGCAGAGCTATCTCCACGATCTTTCACACATGTTTTTAAAACGATTAAGACTACTATGAGGTGAAATTGCAGGTCAAAAGCGCTTCGTTTTCTACAGATAACGGCCAAAAATCAAGATTTTCCTTTTCTTTTCGTATTTCTAATAAAAAAAACTTCACTCCAAAATATCTCGAAAACGCTCTTAAGGTTTTGCTCAAACTTCACGAACATCGAGGCGACCGTATTGGAGAAAAAAGCTCCTGTGAACGATTTTGTAAGGTTCCCGTGCAGAGAATCATGGAGTTATTTCGTTGCTATGATAACTCCGATGTCATTGCAACCCTGATGATGACAAATTTTCATCTTAATACAACTGTGGTCGCTATTTTTCCAAATGTTTGTTTATGGCGACGTAGTTTATGCTCAGACTTGGTATTGCCCCTGGAAAACTGTATCGAGCCACCTTCATATGCCAGGACGGCCTATGTTGTTGCAATATGGCCCTCATTTCTTTTCGACTCTTTCGTAAAAATTTGGGCAACTTGCGAGATTTTTTGGGCAAATGGTTTACCGCCCCCCCTGGCAAAAAATTTCCCGTACGCCTATGGTCAGATCGTTCCAATCCATAGTCAGATCGTTCCATAAAATAGTCAGTTCTTTCCACAAAAAAGTCAGTTCGTTCCGCATATGAAAAGTCAAGTCCATCTTTCTAAATTTGTTGAGTGAACTTTACCGAGAAGAAAAACGTTTCGTTCATACCAGAAGCTGATAAAATAAGAAAGGGCGTATGGAAAGGAAGGAATCTGGAATCAGGAATCCGGAATCCGGAAACGCAAACGGAACCGGAACCGGAACCGGAACCTAACAAATAAAAATTTCAGACGTTTCTGTCTTGAGAGTGTCACTAACAATAATTGCTAGATCAAGACTTTTCATTCCCACATTATATTTATCTATTGTTATTATATTTTTTACTGTCCCACTTTTTGCGTACGGTGCAAAATTTTTCTTCGAGAATTTCACATACGCGTGAGCGTTGCAACTTGGGATCATGATTGACATGAGTACTCCTCCTCCCTTTGCTGCCTTTCCCTCACAATGGATGAAACACGGAGCCTTTTTTAAGAAAAGAGTAACTTAGGCTCAAGAGAAGGAATTGAATAACACAAAACAACGCGAGTTTCGAATTACAATCTCGATTTTATGGTAATTTGTCATGCCCGAAAATATAATGGACTACCTGATTTAAAGCAATGAAATCGTAAGTTCTGTTATAAATGAATTTCCCACGACGAGAACTCAATTCAACTTCTTTTATTTCCTCCACAACACAATTTTCCTTCTGTACACCTAGCTCATTACCTTCTCTTGTCGTCACCTCGCTGCCATCAAAACACTCTAACACAAAACTTGCTGATAATGCAAAATCCCGACGCACAGCATCGTATGAAAAAACACAACACGCAATACAAAAACAAGTACATTAACCGTCACCCTGCTAAACAAAATTGAAGAAGAATTGTTGCAGTTATCACAGTAGTTCCAAAAGAAGCCTCAGACCCTTTTGGTTTCAATTGTTGACAATCGTCTCTTCCTTCATTGGAACAGATTTTTATCACAGGCAACTCACTGTGTTCCGCAATGCAAAACCCAATTCACTATTGTCACACTGATAACCAGCTACACAAATCTTGCGACTCTCAAACTTGTTCAACATTCCTCTATTCCAACTCTTATCCATTTTACACGTACACTCCTGATATTCCGATTTGTTATTACGTCTATGGGGTCCATGAGTCTTTGATGTCATTGAATGTCTTGATAATTTCCTTTGTCTTTCTTTGAGTTCGCGGACCAGCCCATAGACCTGTTCGGCTAACTCAATGTTGTACCCAATTCAAATCTCCCCGGGATAAGATTCTTTGTGTATTGCATTTGCATTATAATGTGGCATTCACATTTAAATGATATGGAAATTCCTGAAACAAAACGTTTTATTCCCAAAGGGTTTGAATTGGGTACAACATTGAGTTAGCCGAATAGGTCTATTCCCAAAACACTCAGTGTTATTTTTTAGTGCGGGCCTACCGCGAACAGTGTGTGCATTTGTAAGTTTAACCCGGAATAACATGATTGAACAATATATTAACACGTTCCTCGAAACGACGAGGCCAAATGTTCTCCAAACTGCTTCTCACTGCTGCTTCGAAAAATTTCGGATCAAACGATATCCAAATCGTCCCTCATTGGATTATCCACTCGACCTAACAAAATCGACCAATCACAAAAAATGGACATAAAATAAAGAAAAGAGCAAATTCAGATGACCTCTTAGGAAACATGCAATTAAAACTGTCTTTCGATGATTGGTGCATTTCGATCCTCTCGTCAAAAAAATGTCAGACGTCAATCATCTTAGCGGATCTGTTAGGAAAGGAAAGTTTTCTTCAACGGGTTCAAAAGGTCATTGTTTATGGTTTGTGATTGGTTGATTTCGATCCGTTTTTTGAGTTTCTTTGTTTCAAGGTTCGTTGCTTGTGATATTTGACCAAAACTCGACGTTAATATTCCAAATACTTTTGATAGCTTTCATCCCTGGACTTCAGACTTCCAAATTTCGATGAGGCAAAAATACCGAAGATTCAGATTAAATTTTGAGATCGTAAAAGTGCGATTAAGTGCAGTGTGCAAGCAGAGCTTTCTTTCCCACATGCCTCTCACCTTGTACAAGACGTTCGCATGACAGACATTCGCCTCGCTTCGCTTGTTTACTTGCCTTGTTTACGTTAGCACGTATTGCGTGCCTATTGCACATTTGAGTCAAAACAAGCCGTTTCCATTATTCTATTTGGGCCACGCCCAAATAATAACAGAGAAAATTACCCAAGAAAATGCTTTTGAACACAAGAAAGAGAAACCCGGGTTGAATTTAACCCCGGGTTAAACGCTAAACGGCTTTCGAACAACTGGGCACTGGTTACCGTAAATGATCGATTGAGGGCCGCTACTTGATCAAGCGCCGCTCTCGAATATGGGTATTTACAAATTTGCCCCCCAGATTTGTTACGGCGCTTGATACAAAGAGATATCAAAACAAGATCACTTGAGAATTAAGACCTCTACCAAATCGTGAGTTGTAAAGTGTTAAAGTAGCTAGGGAAACTCTTCAAACCTGGTTTATATAACAGATCGAGGTGTACATATCTTCTTGTGCTCACCTTGTACGCCCCTCACTTAATTCTTTTTATATTCCCCTCAGTGTTTTACAAGTAGTTGAAATAAGCGCCGCTCTCGTATAAGCACCGTACCTATAACAGGGAAAATGAAATTAGCGCCGCGGCGCTTAATCAATCATTTACGGCAAGTCCGTCTACGAAACAGCGCCAAAATCCTTGTTCTCGGTCCCCACCTGTGTACCAGGATTTGAGTACGCGCCATGATTGACCTGTTAAAAAAGCCATTGTCGATTTTCCAATCAGATTGAAGGGAACTCGAAACGCACTTCCAGTAATTCGTTGAGTCCGTTGGGGAGCCCGGAACTAGGATATTAGAGAGCTTAAGCAACGACGACGCGGATGGCAACGAGAACGGGAAAAAAGCAATAGGTTTGATTAGCAAAACAACAACTTTGCACGTGCATCGCGCTTTTTTTGTACATTTCTTTACCGTCGTTGCTCGACTACAAAGTGCCTGAATTCACGTTTTGTCGAGGACGGGAACACAAGACAACAATTTTCTTCTCTTTTCCTCAACTTTGATACAGTCCTTTAGAATTCAACTCCAAAAACATTTGCCAACATTTGACGAAGTAAACGAGATGGAATAAGCGCGATGAAGTTTGAAGCGGTGCGAATTCACTTTTTAAGTGACGTTTTTGTAGCCGTCGCCGTCGTTGTTGCTTAAGCTCCCTATTGGCACTGCTTCGCAGACGTTACTCACCGGGGTTAGGTTGCGTCTGCGGCGTAGGCTAAGCTACCAGGACTTCCGAGAAACGGGCTCCAGGAAACGGGCCCTAGTAAAGACGAATGTATTGCCTGACGACGCAACCTTTCCATGTCCTGGTTTTTTGAAAAGAAACAAAAGGAATCATATTATTTGGCAGCCTTTGCCTTCCATTGATGATGATCATGTGTTTCCTCCTTTTGCAGATTACACAGAGGAAGAGGAAGAGGAAGAAGTTGATTCCACACCCAGTCCCCCAGCGGATGGCGACAAACTACACATCATCATCCCCCTAGTGGTCATAGGTTTTCTTCTCATTGTGGTTTGCATTATTTTGGTCATGTTTCTTCAACGAAGAAAGAGAAAAAGGAAAGACGCTGTGGATAATGCGCATGACATCACTAAAAAGGGTTCTATTACAATGCGAGACAGATTAAGGGCGGAGTCCCTAAAAAGCCTCGATTCAAGGCTTCTGAGACTGTATGATCCAAATAAATTGAGGCAATACCCATTGGATCACGTGCAGTACGTGAGGGACTTGGGCGAAGGCTTCTTTGGCAAAGTGTTTCAAGGTACTGTATACCTACAGAATAGAAAATTTGATACCTCCTACTGTCGTTATAGCATACGTAGCGTCGGAGCGTGATAAAATAAACATCGCAGCGAAGTCGCGAGAGAAATGGGTTACTCTTCTGACAATGGTGTCCCTTTGACCCCTCTTCAACGAAGCGGGCAAATACACAGTGTGAGATTGCAAATCCAGTGGAACCTTTATCCAGGGGACACCCTCGGGACCGAGGATAGTGTCCCCTGAATAGAGGTGTTCCTTCAATAGATGTTGAGCTGAGTTTGTCACTAATAAACCGACAAAGAAAATATACATGTATATTTTTTATTCCGCCTCAAAATCTGCTGCAGACATTATTTCAAGCAGGTAGATAATGTGTAAAAAGATCGCGATTAACATTTCTCTACGATATTTGTGTTGATTCCCACTAGTACCTTACGTCGATTTCAGTGAGATATTCATTGAGTGACAGCTGTCATAATTGTGATCAGTGTACACTTAAACATAGCAACCCTCCCTGTGATTAGTCACATTTTGAGTACTAAGGTGTACCCTGAATGAGGTTAAACCTGGGTTTCGGGATCCAGAAAAAGTGGCCCTTTCCCCTGAATAGAGCTGTTCCTTCAATAGAGGTAAGCGAGACAACGAAATCTATGTGAACAGTTTTCCGGGGCTAAATTTTGTGTCCCTGAATAGAGGTGTTAGTTTCAGTTTCAGTTTCAGTTCATTTTTTTTGCCAGAAAAAAAAAATTCTGGAATATACAGTTATTCAATATGTTACAAGAAAGATAGTGACATATTGAAAATGGTGTAAATTGTATCGGTGGAACAATTAGAGGTATTTTTCTGGCGAGGATTGAAATTGAAACCGTGGCGGCTTATTACATGAGCTCCTTCTCTAACCTAAGACTATTAATATAATAAATAAGCAGCGAAATCATTTTGAAATATATATATATTTAGGATAAAAAGCAAGCAAAACAAAATACACCAAACGGAAAAAAAGCAGCAAAAAACAGGTATTGTTTGCAAGTGGTGAATCAGCTAAGGAAACATGTTTTCAATCTGAATTTAAAATAGTATCAGTACTTTGCATTTTATGATTTAGAGAATTGAAAAATTGTGGACCCTGAAATCTCATACGATAATTAACAGTTATTCCTCGAGTCCGAATGGGCTGTGAGTCAATAGGCCTCATGGGCTATTGACTCAGAGGCCATGAGGGCGAGAGGAATAATTGTTTTAGTAAAATCCAACTAGTTGGTCAAAAATATCGAGAATAAACAAATTTTAGCTAGTTTAAAGCTAGACTTTAATCCTTTTTTGCCGCCAAAAAGCCCGCGCTTTTCGCTACTAGGGGGCTATAACATATAGCCTAGTAGTAGCTCAACCAATCAGAACCCAGCATTGATAATAGACCATTAGTTGGATTTTACTTAAGTCTTACATTTGTCCGTGCAGAAAATAAGTAGAAAGTATTTGAATTTCTGCTATTATAGGAATGAACTTGATTTGTCATTAGAAACATTTCTTTAAACACATTAGGGAGCAGGCCTATTTTATAAGAATACATAAACTTTCTAACTTGAAACAAGTAAATTTTAGAGAACTTCAGTATTTGTAAACCTTTAAATATAAAATAGGGGTGTCCGAAAGGAGAGGTCCCAGTGCTTGCGCAATGTCGTCTCATCAACATATTATATAACGTAAGATCGTCCGTTTGTTTGGTTGACGTCATTCTGTGACTTTGCGCTTCATTCAAATATTTACTTGTTTTGAAAAGCTACACGTAATGTTAGTGAAGTTCTTGTAAACTAATCAGAACAACAAAGTGCTCTTCCACCATAAAAACAAAGCGTTTACATGATTTTTGGGTCAAATTTTACGTTATAAACAAATGTCATCGTTATCTTACAGGACGCGCGACAGGTCTAATCGAAAAACAACCCAAGAAAGAGGTTGCTGTGGCAGTGAAGGCTCTTAAAGATGAACCGTCCAAAGAGCAAAAGGATGAGTTTTTCAGAGAGGTGACTCTGATGTCCATTTTACGACATCCAAATATTGTTCAGCTACTGGCAGTGTCCACAGAAGAGGAACCTTATGGAATGGTGTTCGAGTTTATGAGTAATGGTGATTTGAATCAATTTTTGAGGAACGCTCTGCCAGCGGAAACTTCACTTGACTCAGATAACCAAGCAAAAGGTACTACTGGATGTACATTTATATTGCTTTCCAGTGCCGGATCCACACCTCGAGAGGGGAGGGGTGGGGGGGTCTCCAAAAAACTTTTTTCGGCCCTTTAGGCCCCAGTTTGGTCAAAAAATAAGGGGGGGGGGCTCCTCTAGATCCGCCACTCTTTTCTTCCTGATTCAGTCGTAGCCTGTGAGCAAGGTACAGTTTCGAGGCAAAGATCTTACTCGCAGGGTATTTCATTTGTAAAGAGTAAAGAAAATACATTAAGTAGATTTAGCAAAGATAGTGCAGCGTAAAATAAGAACTCTAAGGGGCGAGGGAGGGACTGCTCGCGGCTTGCGGTGGTCAGTTTGTCGCTCCTTCGCTACTTGGCTCCCCCAAAGCGCAGTAGGACTTATTAGCGAGATAATATCGCTTATCCTGACCTTCTGGATATAAATTTCAATCTCCAAGTACTTAGTTTTTCACAGTTTATCCCACGGCCTTTCCTCTCGATCCCGTCAATGCTGCTAAGTTCTACACGTCCGATGCTACACGATCACGTGTAAGACATATTAGTGCCGCTTTTTTACAAACATTTGTAACCGAATGCTACGGATTGCGGGCGACAGCGATCGAAGATCAAAACGCTTTTGCTCCAACGCTGTGCTTTTTCCCTTGATAGATGGTCAAACACGCGTGATCAGATTACAGGTGATAGAAAGTCCAAACGCGCGTGATCAAGTTGCATTAGATAGTTACATTAAATCCCATCGGCCGTAAAAAAATCCTTACTAGACATCTTATGAAGTTTAAAAAACGTAGTGTTCCTTCGCGCTTCTTCACTGTACATCTGCAGTACAAAGGGAGCCGCAGCAATAAGGAATACTGTGTTGTGTAAGCCTCATAAGGTCTCCAAAAGGTTTTAGGCAGATAGGATGTGATGCAAACCTGGCTACATACGTGCTGTGCATGCGTAATAGTAACCTGCAGATTATGATTACGGGATCCTGTTATCACCCGCAAATAATTAAGTTTACTATTTAATGAATGAATGAATGAATGAATGAGTGAATGAATGAATGAATTAATTAATAAGATAATTATTCAACAGTTTACCTCACCCAAGAAGACCTTGTTTCCATCTCAGTCCAGATCGCTACTGGCATGGAATATTTAGCAGAGATGAAGTTTGTGCATAGGGACATGGCAGCCAGAAACTGTTTGGTCGGAGATAACATGGTTGTAAAGATTGCGGACTTTGGAATGTCACGTGATATATATGCTTCAGAATACTACAAGGTTTGTTTCGCAAGCTTTCATAGCCACGCATGTTCTGCCAAAAAAGCTTAGGAAAGATTAAATTTAGAGCTTTTCCGAAACGTGTTGGTCCACGAATTCTATCGCTTGAAAGCGTTGATTACTTTGGAACAAGTGAACATTACTGAGTGGTATTAATTAAGAAACCTGCGATGGTCGGGTGTTGTAAACTTCCATTGTATGAAAATGGATCGTGTGATGAGCATGCGGTTTAATTTCGGCGATGATTGAAACGACGTACCATGTAACTCACTTTTTTGATCTCTGCAATGATGTAATTTCTCTGGAATCGAGGCCCTTGAATTTTCGTGTTTTTATACACGCGTATAGGCTGAGACCGCAGACGTTTTTCCGGTCGTCGCTAACACGTACTAAATCAATTCAGAAACAAATATAAAGTATCGACGTCGATAAAGTGGGAAGTAAAAAACCTTTAGCAAGTAAATCCTGTTTCGTGTAGAATTAATCGCCTCCTCATTTCTCGATCTAATGTCCAAGCAAGCGAGATGGACGGCCGCTGTAAGCACGTTCTTGTTTGTGATAATTTGTCACTTAAAAGAAAGTGAAGAGGGGTTGAGTGGTATTGTTCTTATAGATATTGATCTTTCATGGAAATGGTTCTTCAGCCAAGTCTCAATCCCCGCATCTTAAGATTTTAGATATTTGTCACGTAACAAAATCCATGATACAGTAAAACCTGGCATTCCGTTAAATATCGGTCTCCGCTAAATACAGATTCGTTTTTCCTAATATATGGGAAGACAACGTTTGAAATATACTGAGCTACCTATCCACTTAACACATTGTGTCCGCGTTATACGTGGTCCGCTTAATACAGGTTCCAATGTAAAACGAATCTGTATTTAGTGGACACCTCTATTAAACGGATTCCAGCGAAGGTCCCGTGTGTGTCCGTCTAATAGAGATTTCATTGTATTATCACTAAAAAAGTGGAGTTCACGTGAGTGTACGTATTCTTCAATAGTGCCCTTTCATGGAAGTGGTTCTTCGGCCCTCCTCTCAACTCTCGAATCTCAAGATTTTTAATATTTGTCACTTACTGTATTTCACATGATATATGTTTTCGTTCCAGATGAGTAAGGAAACATTGCTTCCTATTCGTTGGCTAGCGCCTGAAGCGTTCCTTTACGGCAAGTTTAGCCTTAAATCAGATGTGTATGCTTATGGTGTGGTGCTTTGGGAGATTTTTACATTTGGTCTGCAGCCATATTACGGTTACACTAATAAGGAAGTGATGGAGTTTATCCAGAAGGTACTGTACTCCTAAGTTACTTGCACAACTAAATGCCATGTTTTTCGCTACACTGAATCAAGGGCCAGGTTTTTATTTGCGTGTGTGTTATAGCGTAGTAGAATATAGCTCAGGAAGCTTAAGCTTGAAGCCACGTAAATCTGTCAATAAAAGTTCCCGGCTTGCGTGTTTTTGCGGCACAAGGGGGACCGTAGATTTACTCGGTTCCTGAAGCTGGCACTGGTTAATAAAGAAACCATCGGTTAATACGGAAACCGAGTGGATTTCAGTCGTTACGCTCGGCAAATGATCGGATCTTCCAAGAGTTGTCCGAATTCCCCTCAAGCTTTCTCTTACGAGGCCTGGGACCGCAAAATTCAAATTGGCCACCAAAGAAAATACTTTCTTCGGGCGATATAGAAAATAATCTTTATTCACTTATTTTATATGGTCTATTCTTATGTGAGATCCATTTGCGTGGACGCACGGAATGAACGCTTGCCCGGATTTGTGTGCATTTTCTGACTTAAATATTCGGTCTCGTAAATGGACACGATCATATTGACATTCCCTTATTGCAGGGTATTCACTTGGGAAAACCAGATAATTGTCCAGACTTCATATATGGAATCATGAAAGATTGCTGGATCAGAGAACCAGAGAAGCGTGTTCAATTCACGACAATAAGTAGGCGTTTAAAAGATCCGTACCATGATTACGACGAACCGCCTTCAGACAGCGAAGACGGACCTGAACAGACAAAGACTGCTAAGCCAGGTAAATAGACATAATCTGAGCATCTTGTTAAAACGAGTAAACATATAAACATATAAATTAATTAATTAAACGGGTTCAAAAGGTCATGGTTTTGTGTTCTGTGATTGGTAGATCTTGATCCGTTTTGTGTGTTTCTGTGTTTCAAGGTTCGTTGCTTGTGATCGTAATTTAATATGATTAACGGTAGCGAAAAACGCAATTGTCAAGGCGGCTTTTGAACTTTAGAGTTCGCGTGTTTGTGGAAAGCGCAGCTAAGGTGATTGGCGGCAGCGAAAACCTCAAACGTCAGTTGGCTTTTGAACTTCAGAGTTCGGCGAGTGTTTTTGAAAAGCGCAGTAATTAATTAAACAAATTTCAGTTTTAGCTTTCAAAAGCAAATGCCATCGCTATCGTTAAAAGATCATAAAAAAATCGACAATGCCATTTTTTTTTCTTTTTTAAATTTTTTTAAACAGTTGTTGGTTCATTGAGATAGTCAGTTGGGCTACGGTCACGGTATCTGCAGTTTAACCGAAAAAAACTGAGCTATAACGTGTGTTTGCATCAATTAAGTCCCTAATCATAACTATAACAAAATTCTTAAATCTGATTGGCTATCTACTGCCCTGATTTCAGCCTCACTAGGACAGTTGAATAGGACAGTACTCGTCATGTCTAAGTAATTGGACAGTACGCGCCATCACGCGCGCGCTTAAATGGTTTTTTTTGTTTCACTGCTAGCAAAAAAAAATCTCGGAATTTCTTGTCTTTTTGATTAAAAAAAGAGCCTCATATATCACAAATTTTGTTAAAGTTATGATTAAGTGGTAACAGAACTTCGTGTCGTCCAATTCGGTCTGTAATCATACTCGTGATTAAACAAATCGAACTCCCGCTACGCGGTCGTGCGATTTTGTTAATCACTCGTATGATTACAGACCGAATTGGACTCCACTCAGTCCTGTTACCTTTACAAACATAATGGTTCAGATTATATTTAGGTATTGAAACTGTTTTCTGATGTCTGTTACAACGGAAGGCAAGGGTGAACATGGATTGGAACTTGAAAAAATTTGGGCCTGACACCGTAATATCCTCTATTAAGCCTCTGCCCCCTCCCTTTCTCTTTTAATCCCCCCTTTCCTTCCCCCCTTGCTTTCACAACCAAATTAATAAATGATAGACTCTATAGATATATAACGACTGTAGCACTTCATCTTGGACTGATCCTGTACGGTTTATTCACGTGCTGGAAGTTCGGATGTTTTTTATCTCTGGCTGCATAGCCTCTAGCGGTGTCCTTGAGGTTTTCCAGTTTGTTTCCTAGTTGTTAGTGGAGAATTAATACGATCTTCTGGTTGTTTGAAAAATTAGTATAAGGCCCCGCTTTGCTAAATTGAATAAGCCCCCGTTAAAAAACCCCTCTCTCTTTATTAAGTCCCCCCACCTTCCTTAAAATAAGCCCTTTACCTCCGGGGGTGGGACGGAAAATACAACTTTGATTTCCTTACACACCCCATAGGCTCATGGAACTCATGGATCTGCTTTTTTTTCTCTTAGAAACTGGAAACTATGACATTCCCAGGACCCCTCCTACAAGTAATTACGACATTCCCCGAGCATCGGCTCACGAAGGTTCTTACGACGTTCCACGATCATACGAAGATTTAACAGCCGAGGAAAACTTGGATAAAGATGGACTTGTCCCTAGAGATATTCCAGTGTAGTTAAATTTGCAATTTTAATTATTTAATCTCGTTACCAGCTTCTTTCGGTTGTTTTATTGCAAAAGGGAACTGGAATCGATTTTTAGATCACTTAGCGTCCTCTTTTCATGACAATTGCAATACATACTTTTGTTCTTCGCAATGGGGTGCATCATTTGATTGGTTCATTGTCCATCATACAAGTAATTACGAAAGCATTTCAATGATTGACAAGATTTAGAGGTGACAGAATTTCTGGTGCCTTTGTCCAAGATTTTTTCAAACTCAACTGGCCAGCACGAAGTCTGTTAGACTCAGCAACGTCTAGTCCGCCGCCCTCCCCTGATGGAATTTTACCAAATTTTCGGTTAATGAATGGGACTGTGACAATCAAATGAGTATAATAAAGCAATGACTTTAGGAAACTTGTCCTTAAAATTTCTGGCTAACGGGGCCTTTTTTACTTCCCATCATCGCGAGTCCATCCAATTTAATGATATCCATAAGTGAGTTAATTTTACATAAATGTAAGTGATTTTACGTACCCTCTAGTATATCAAACAGACAATTGAATTTTTTTCTATATTTAATAAATTGGTTCCTTTTTTCGACTTTTCCATAATAACTTGCGTGTTTTAAACAACCTATGTAAAATCACTGGTATACTTGACACATGGTATACAAAAAATCACTGGTATACTTACTGTACATAACTAATTTTAATTTTACATTTAATTTTATTTTTCCATTCACATATGATCCAGATTTTGAAATTCAATGTCTTAACCAATTTTATTATTGGTAAAGGATAAATGGAATTCTCAGCGATTCACTAGTTTTGTACGCACATCATTTTTACAGGCTTTCTTTTAAAAATATTTCTATCACGGACACCATTGACAAATTAACGGAAAGTTTATTAAAAAAAAAAGATCCTGTATTTTTTTTATTATTATTTTCGTTACTGATAAGTCAATTTTTATTTAGTATTATTAAGAATCGGTGGTTTAAAGATCCACTGAAGAAACCGTGTACTTTAAAATTAGCCGAATAGATTGAAACAGTTATTTGAAATATCAAACACCATTCAAATTGGTCGAGCATTCATTATTTTGCCAGATGATGCCCTTTCAGTAGTCCAGACCTAACAATAAAAACACTTTTCATTATCCGCAGTTTACTTGGTGTAGTGCGTGTTGGTCTTAGTCAAGTGCCTTCAGAAAGGGTTATCTGTGAGAGACGACGGACATTGAAATTGAAGGAAAAGAATTTGATATGATTACATTATCATAAGCAGACTACCTTACGTAATTCGTAATTCCTCCTTCTTCGATGATAGTGGTGGCAGGGGGAGGGGGCGTTTCTTGGTTTGCCGAAACTATAGTGTTTTGACATGACGTCACGTCCGCCTCATCGGTGTCCAGAGAAAAGGAAACGATGGTCACCATCATCATCATCATTGTTAAGCGGTTACCATGGTTTCATCACGAAACCTAGTTCCCAGGGCCCCCTCCCCTGGGAATGAGGTTATTCATTTTGTCGTGTGAAATTTTGCCCAGTTTTTCTCTTCACCTTATACTGCGCTCTTCCTGAGTTCCGCTTAATCGTGCTATAAATCAGTTTTCTACACTAAAGCTTAGATAACAAGTTTATCGGATAAAACAGTTATAAAACTCCTGACCAACAACGACAAGCATCTGGTTACAGAAACCGAGACATCACATATCAGATTATTGTGTTTTAGTACCTTTCTTGGCTAAGCATGGAAAAGGTTTATCAACATTTTCTAACATTATTTCTGTCAGGATTATTTACGTGTTATGCGCTAACTGGAGGTAAGCTCTTTATGTTGTACTGAATTGCGAAAGATTCTGAAAATAGTGGTTTGGTAGTAAAACCCATGCGTCGTCTATTTCATAGCCTGTGAACAGGCTCTCTGTTTGGGGAAAGGTTGAAAAACTCGCGAGGAGAGGAAAGGGAAAGGGTGAGAGACTGTAGACAAACCGTTTGGGACCGTCGTTCCACGGCACCCGCTATGTATCAGATCCTGATGCAGGCTCCTATTGGCGTGAACACTGACTGTTGACAGGTTTGATTTACATCGCTGTTTTGGTCGGTACGTAGCACGCGATTTGATGTCTTCTGATCTTTAACATGGCGTCTTCCTGCGCGTGACTTATGCGCTTTTTTAGCCGCAATGAATATTCTTGCATCAGAGGGCAAATGACGCCGACCAGAAACAATAACCGCAGAAAATCAATATGTGTTTCACTACCTCTCAGTATGAAATAAGCGGCAAGAATCACATTTTCTCAGTTAAAACTAAACCCTCCAGAACATAATCTGCCCGCCAGGGAAACAAACTCATTGGAAAAAGCAGCATTTTAGCACGAGGTAAAAGCTGTGTGTTGCGTACCTACCCCCTTTTTAGACGCGAGATTGATTACATACCGATGTATCCAAGTGACAGATAACGCCCTCTCCTCGCGATTTTTTCACCCTTTCCCCAAACAGAGAGCCTGTCCACAGGCTGTCTGTTTCACTTCCGAGAAGTTAAGCAAATGAACATTGTGCGCGTTTTTTCTCTGAGATTGATTACGTGAAAGAAAGATGCTACAAGGTAACAAAAATTGGCTCTATTTCCTGAACAGATTACAGTGTTGTCGCAAAGACAAATCTTAAGTCGACTTAAGAGTAAATCCCTGCATTTGGAGATTTAAATATTGGGAACTCACTAGCCTTGTGTCGCCCTACGCGATGAAATCAGCAAGCTGAACATTGAAACGCGTAAAATTTACAATCGAATAGCCTATGATCCCGGGCTACGATCTTGGCGTAATCATGACTCAGCTGAGCATGATAGTGGTCATTTATGTAGTGACATGACAACATAAAAAATAACCTGACGTGTCCTATTGATATTAATGTGCCAACTACATGCGTATGCATTGGTTCATGAAACAAAAGATTGTTTTTTTCCACTCGATACAAATGTAAATTATAGCAAAAACAATCCCAATGTCTGAAAGTTACTATAAAATAGGCAACGGGCAACGGTCGACGGGCGACGGGCGACGGGCGATAAGCACCGGGAACAGGAAAATAACACTGATAACAAAATCTTAATCAACCCCTTGCCCTATCAGTAACTTATTTCTAATTCTCTCAGTTTTCTTCTTATCTTTTTGTTCCTAGAATTTTGCGGGAATTCACATCGGACTATGAGCAATGCCGGTACAATATCCAAACCCGGAAGAGATTTACCTCAGACAATATCAATTCGATATTTGCCTTAAACTGGAGATTTTGTGCCAAATCATGTTTTCGTTCACTTTTCCTATATTTGATAACTACTAATTTATAACAATCTTTTTTTGTTGTTTTGTTTTGTTTTTGGCAAAATGAAATTATAGTGATAAAGGGCAGGCTACTCAGTCAAAAAAAGTGTGTCAGGAATAAATTAAGTTGTAAACTTGTCCAATGTTTTCCTTGAAACTTATACTTAAAAGGTACTTTGACACTTGCAGCTCAACTGCGTCATAAGCATATTTAGAAAAAAAAGAATTTATCAAATAAACAGAGTTATAAAATAATCAATTAAGGAAAAAATCGGGAAAAGTGCAGCAAACAAAATAACTCGCCTTCGCTTAACGTCCTGGTAGTTCCGTTTTGGGTCCATTTCGCATCCGTCCGCCAACGACAACCACACGCTTTCAAGAGAACAACCTCCTGAATAATAAATCTCTACAAAAACATACCACACTAAAAGGAGAGCTTAAAACCAACAATTGTTTTTCTTCTTTTCAGCTACGCAACACAATTGTTCTGCAATACGCGGTGAGGAGAAAGTTGGATGTGTTCTCCCAGATCCAAAGAATCCAAATGGTACAGTTTGTTTACTTCTCGGCTGTTGCTGGAATTCGACTGAGCAAAACATAAAATTAAAATGTTTTACAAAAAGGTAGGTTTATCCTCAACAAATGTTGTGAGAAAAAGATATGAAATGACCAAATGGCAGATTCTGGGTTCAATATTCAACATTCACGACCCTCGGACGCGGTACAATAGGGGGTGGCAACCAGCCCTCTCCGAGGGTTTTTTGAAGTTTTTTTTTTCCTAAAGGATAAAACATCAGCCCCTAACGATTTCGGTAGCTGTTCGTTTATCCCTCGCGCGCATTTTGAGACAAGTTTAGTGATGGTCAGTTACTATGGTTACGAGATATGACGTCATAAAGAGCAGGTGATAAAGCCATTTTTGAGTGAAAATGCGTGTTTTTCAACTTCTTTCAAAAATAAAAGTAAAGCTTGTGAATGTATGAATGAATGAATAACTTTATTTACCGAGGGTGACACATTACAGTTAAGAACTGGTAAACTTGTGGCCCTCTCCTAAAATATTTAAAACTAATTTACAAATATTAAAAAGGGTAAAAACAAATAACAAAAAACAGTATATATAATATAAAAAGGGTCTGACGTTATAAAAAATTATGAAATGGGAGAGCTATCTAAGCCAGCATAACCTTCCTTTATAAAATTACAATAGTTCCGTTCGAATGCGTTAATACTAGTGCTAGATCTTATATTTATAGGTAGAAAGTTCCAAAGTTTTGCAGCTGTAACAAGAAAAGTTTTTCCATCTTCTGTTGAGGTTCTGGTCGACATGTCACTGATACGAACTAATCTATTACCTAAGTACTCTGGGCATTGTCCATTTAAGCATTTGTAGAATAAGCATAAGTAATATTTAGTAATTTCGTAAAGCTTTATTTCATTCTCATACAGATGTTCTTTTTGTCAAAGAACAGGAGCTTTTAGAATTCTCTGATATTGATTTATACCAAATAGGTAAATTTATGGATCTTTTTAAAAGAGTGTTAATTCCTAATTATTATTGTGATAGGTTTATTCTTGCAAGCCAGATAAATTCGCATAAAACAAGAAATTCAAGCTTTTTTCTCTCTTTTCCTTTTTCTCCCTAATATTTGATTCCTTGTCTAACCAACATTGGAAAATTCTCAATTTGGTTTCAACGCTATAAGTTTTTCAACTCGGTGAGTCGTGAAATTCAAAACAGTGAAGGTTTTGACCTGTGTTTAGTCGCCCCCTAAGCTCAGAAAAATTCGGAGAAGGGCCCCTTCTCCGATTTTTTTCTGAGTGGAAGGGGTGGCTGTACACTGGTTATGAAAGCTTCGGTTTGTTTGGCAAAAGATTTAAAAAAATAATTCTTTCTTAGTCACAAATACTCTTTGTTGTTGTAACTTTTTTATTGCCACAACAAGTATTGACATACATATAGTAGTATATATATATAGTAAAAATAAAATCACACAAAATGTCATCATTTGATTTCAAGTCAAGGGATTTTACATTTTACGCTTCTTATATATTGTTAATGCAATAGATTTTGTGAGAGGTTATTTTTAAAGCGAGACCATTTCCGTACAAAGACGTTTGAGTCGTTATTGTGGAATGCAATGTGCTTTACAATTTCTATCGAGTTAATAAGTACCTGTATATACACCTGCAGCTTAGGAAGCTTGTTCCCAAGTCTGCAGGTGTATATGTAATGTCTAGCTATAAGGAGTAGGTGATGAAAGAGAAGGTCTCTTACGTCATCAATGAGACCACAAATACTCTTTGTGTCTACATACAGTGGAACCTGTATAAAACAAACAAAGGATTTTATTTACCCCAGTAATAGTAAAATATATAAAAAAAGAACCTCGATACAAGGAAACCTCGTCATAGCAAAAACATTTTGCCAGTCCCCCTCCCTGGAGTGCAACAAACGCAGACTACAGACTGGCGGGTCAATGAAGTAAACATTGTTGTAGAATACTCTAACAGATATATTCCCTATCCCTAAACTAGAGTTTTAAATGACTTAAACGTTAGGGATAGGGACTCTGTTAAAGGGTCTTAAAGCATTCCAGAACAAGGTTTTCCTCGTTTACCTGCAAGTCTGCAAGTCTGCAGTTTGCGTTTGTCGCACACCGCTCCCTTCCCCCTTCCTTATATCAACTTCGCACATTTTCTTTTCTTTTTTTCTTTTATGGTGATACATTTTTTCATAAGGTACCCCTAATTCACATAGTGTACCCTATATTCTTAGGAATCCTATAGTTCATAAGCCCTCGGCTTCCTTGCCATTTCCATTTTGAACATTTGTAAACGATTTCATTTAGAATAGTGTCTAGCATCTTTAATATATTATAAATTTATTGTGTTTTGTAAATGTATTTTAAGTGGTTGGTGGCAAAATGAATAAATGAATAAATCAAACAAAATTGCCACTGCATGGAACCATGTTTTAGTTGACAATAACAACAACGTTTTTGGTACCTTCCTTCAGACTTTCACGGTTAAAAAAATCTCTATTTTTTTTTCAGCGGCGGTACATGCATGTCATATACAGGGAAGGTCTGTCAAGGGTCACTGACCACAACACTCGGCTCCTACAGGAACACCCCGCGCTTCATTGTTAACAGATTTGGTCAGCTCGGCACTGAAACATTCCTGCAGACGGCTACAAATATAATAAACACATTTGTTGCAAATGATAGAAAGTGTCGGTATATTATGCACAACATGTTTTGCCAGTACACTTTACAGCCTTGCTACCCGGATAACACTGTCGTGGAATACTGTAAGGAAGATTGTGAAGCCATATTCAGAGACTGCCAGGAACCACTTAATCAAGTTATTGGTGCTGTAAAGTTCTACGTGCAGCAAAATGGTCTTGACTTTGTTCATACGGGGCTACCTGACTGTACCAGACACAAACCTGCTAAATATTTTGACAACTTGCCAAACAGGACGTGTATCAAGACTGGGTTCTTTAGTAAGTAGACTTTCTTGTTTGATATTCCTTTAGGCAGTTTTCACACCTGGTTCCTGGACACGGTGTAAAACTAAGAAAATATTTTGACAACTTGCCAAACAGGACATGCATCAAAACTGGGTTATTTAGTAAGCAGTCCTTGTTTGTTCAACGTAAAGAGTACTTTATAGAGTGTTTTCACATGACGTCACGGCGGCCATATTGGTGTCCCAAAACAATGAAACGGCGGCCATGTTGGTGTCCCAAACCAGTCCTCTGGGAGCACAGGCGGCCCAGACGTAGTATGTGTCACTGAATGAATATATTAATATTCACATGGACAAATTATAAATGCCATGAGTCGTCGAAACTCCCATGGACTAAAATAGTCCAAAAGTCAAAATATAACAAAACAAAGTTAAGATACCTTTAACTGAACGTATCCTTGTCTTTCCTGGCCGGTTTAAGTGGCATTTTGTTCAGTTTTGCAATTGCAGGTACTATCCACTAAAGAAGAATTAAAGGCTGGCTACAAAACAAACAGACCATCTCCACGCGCCTTCACACGAAGCGCTATAAATTCGAGAATAATCGACGAATCCGCTCCAAATAACTATCGGCTAATCTGCAGGTGACGTGTGCTCCTGCTTCTGGCTCGCTTGCACCACAAAATCCATCGCAACTGCACAATAATTGCTCGCTCATCAACAACGACTGTTGGCCTTTACGCTTCGATATGACCGCAAACGACCAGGTTTAATACGCGACGTGAATATTCAAGCTTAGCGACCGCGTTCGCGCAACAATGCAGCACTTGCTATGGGAGGGATGGTACTATTGCTTCTAGGTCAATCAATCGGGAAAATAATATTGAAGCTCTTGTAATTTTTAAAAAGATCCAATTTGCCCTAGGAGCACCGAACAGATACGAATCTTATAGCGGAGCTGAAAAAAATGAGCGGCAGTGTAAAAAGTGAACAAGAACATGTACCACATTTTCTCCATAAAAAGTGAAAACCAGGAAGTTTTCCGGACGTTTCACGTTGCAGTCATGCAAATCAACGGCGAGGAAATGTACAAGAAAGTGTGCTGCAATTAGACCTATTGTTGTTTTTCACAGTTCTGGTCAAGGGCATCCAACTTTTAAGTTTTCACATTTCACTCACCGGGTTAGGCTATTTTTCGTAGAGAGTAAAATGGAATCCTAAAATTTTCGAATTCAAAAATGTGATGAAAGAAGGTATCTGAAAAATTATCTCCTTCGTAATACGTTAAATTGCATCTAAAATTTTCGGGAAAATAATTCGGAATTCCTCGTAATTTCGAAAAGACTCAAGTTCCTCTAGAATGGCCGAACACTGAGATGCAAATTTTATAGCGCCACTTAGAATGCATTTCTATAGAGCTAAAAGTACTTTATGAATAGCTACAAAAGTGTTTTCAATTGAAAGTATTTGAGGAAACAGTCGTTTGGTGGCCCTGTCTCGTGGCCTTCTCCGCTTAGCATTACACGATATACCGGTATTTTATATTTAGTACGAGCAAACTATAAATCATTAGCTTCGCTTTTAGCCCTCCTGACTAAATTTATGTAAGCGCTGTTTAGAATGCATTTTTCGATCAAAAGTACTCTGGACAGCCTTAAATGCGTTTTCAAGGCATTTAGGGGGAAATCATCGTTGGGTGCCCCTGAGTTTTGAGAATAATAATAATAATAATAAAAGATATCGCGCACATAAATTTTACTTTACGATATCTTCAGCTGTATCTTCTATTCAGCTGCCTAGCGGGGGCCTGATTTTGCCTTTTTCCTGGGTGGAAAATTCTCGTCCTCCTTCACCAGTTTGGACAACATATTATGGAGTAAGACGTTGTTAATCTAAGCAAATAAGTCTGGTAGAGTCAAGAACCTATGCAAGCGGCTGGACGAACAATGTCACAGCAGCTGAGACAGCGAACGTTAGAAGAATTCGAACTTGAAAACCAGGGCTGCCCTGTTGAAAACTTACGGACGGTCCTGCGATCGCCTTTTGTTTTCTGGTCAAAACTAACGCAGCGAGCCTCCGGTCAGTCGATTGACCTAGAAGCAATAGTACCATCCCTCCCATAGCAAGTGCTGCATTGTTGCGCGAACGCGGTCGCTAAGCTTGAATATTCACGTCGCGTATTAAACCTGGTCGTTTGCGGTCATATCGAAGCGTAAAGGTCAACAGCGGTTATTGATGAGCGAGCAATTATTGTGCAGTTGCGATGGGTTTTGCGGAGCAAGCGAGCCAGAAGCAGGAGCACACGTCACCTGCAGATTAGCCGATAGTTATTTGGAGCGGATTCGTCGATTATTCTCGAATTTATAGCGCTTCGTGTGAAGGCGCGTGGAGATGGTCTGTTTGTTTTGTAGCCAGCCTTTAATTCTTCTTTAGTGGATAGTACCTACAATTGCAAAACTGAACAAAATGCCACTTAACCCGGCCAGGAAAGACAAGGATACGTTCAGTTAAAGGTATCTTAACTTTGTTTTGTTATATTTTGACTTTTGGACTATTTTAGTTTATGGGAGTTTCGACGACTCATGGCATTTATAATTTGTCCATGTGAATATTAATATATTCATTTGACACATACAACGTCTGGGCCGCCTGTGCTGGGAGTTGAACTCTTTTCTTATGCAAACGCTTTCTTTTGTTCCAATAAATTTGCATAGATGCTGGCCACGTGAGTGAAAACACTCTATAGCCGCTTTGTATTTGTGTTTGTGCTTAACGGTAACATTTACCTGAGCGGACATTATAGTAGTAGATGGCAGACTGGGCATGCAGTCACGTGATTATCAAAATTACTCTGCATGCGGAGCTCCGCTATGACTTGCCTTGTGGCCTGTGATGCAGGATTGCAAAGGGAATCTTTCTGGCGAAGACAGAGGTAAAGACAAAGAAATAGATACATGCCACGAAACAGTGGAGCTCTAGAAAGACTTCTGTACTCCTCGACCCGCGAAACATACCGTTAGCAGCGTCTTCGAATTCATTTTCCTATACTGTGCGAGGAGGCCAAGAAAAAAGGCAAAGGACTATTGTATCTAGAAGTAATGTTAAGTTGTATAAATTTTACTGTAACTGTTTGCACTTTCCAAAATTCGAGGAGAAGAAGGTTTTCTTTTTCCTTTTCTAGTTATGAAAGAAAAACAATAAGAACAAAAAGAAGAAAAACAAACAAAAATACCTGTTTCTCTAATTCATGATTTGGCGACCTTCGCCTCACCTTATACTGACTCTTAGACTTGCTTCAAGTCGACCTCTCATAAATTTTAAAAGTGAGCGAAGCGAGCTTCAATGAGGTCGCGCAGGGCTTAATCAACCAGGAAAAAAAATTAAAGGACTTTTAGAAAGTCTAACTGATGCTATGTGTTTGTTCAATTAACAGGTTACACTGAGCCCGTAACAGAACCTGGGTGGAATTTTTCCAAAACGAAAACACGTATCACAGAGCCAGCCACAGAACCAATCACAGGGCCAAATGAAATACCAATTTGTCCAACATCATCTTTCCCAGCGGACAATAACAAACCACTCAAAATCATCTTCCTCGTGGTCATTGGGTTATTTTTATTGTGATTTGTTTTACTGTATTCAGTTTTCGTCGACAAAAAAAGGAAAGAAAAAAGAAAAGACGATGTGGATAATGCGCATAAGTCAGATTCAACTTGCATTTAGTTAGGAATAAAACTGAGCCATGTGGAATACAACGAAATTAATCTCAAAGGCTTCGTAGAATACTCTTGTAACGTTTATTGTGATTTTTCTGCAGTCATGTAAAATTCCTTTTTCCTAATGGTATAAAAAGCACTTTTTCTCTGATGTTCAAACTGGACTGTTCACAAACCCATATTCCTTTCTCGTGCGATTAAGATTTGCCGCCGATCTCGAGAGGCTGCCATTTTAATCATATATGCCGTGAGAAATTTAGGGATAGTCAAAACAGCCTATATTGGTCGAACTCACACTAAGATGGATTATCCGTCTGAAACGGGTTATCCGTTGGATAATTCGCGTCAGACAGCGGATAATACGTTTTAATTTTAAAATGGAAGGGTCTTCACTTTGGATGGACAATCCGCCTGACTTTACCCAATCTGTTATTCCGTCAATTTTAACGGATTTTGAAGATGGATTATCCGTCGAGACGGATAATCCGTCTGTAGTGTGAAACCGGCCATGGACCAAAATGGAAGGTGGTGTGGGTGGGGGAGGAAGGGGGCACCTCTGATGCCGCAACTTCCGCTTACACCGGTAATTCACACCCTCCCCAGTGTTCCTTTCCCTTGCGAAATCATGATAACGAACTCAAACATCGCAAGAAAAATAGGGCTGTAAGCACTATATCTTTGTAGAGACATCCGGGACCTTGCTTAGTTTCAAGTCAGCAATACGCACGCTGATGTCTTGATTTTTGACCGGAAGTCAAAATAATTTATCATTAATTTGGATAAAATAATTGTACTCTATCTTGCAATGGAAAGTTTCTACGCCTTCCACGCATTTAAAATAAAATTATTTTGGGATTGCCTAAATTTCACGTGAGTTCCTCTCCGTCGAGAGTCGTGCTATCACCAAGTTGGTCCCCTGAGTTTTCTTTTGTTTCATCTTCATCCTCATCAATATCATTATCTTCGTCTTCTTCGCCGTCGTCTTCGTCATCTTCGTCATCATCATCGCCATCGTCTTCGTCTTCATCATCATCTTCACTAACCTCTTGTCCTGCATCTCTCGCAAGTTTCTAAATTTACAAAAGAAACAGAAGTAAAGATCAAACGTTCTGCAGCCCGCGAACAAGCTCTCCATCTGGTACAACTACAAACTGAAGCTACGAGGACGCACTAGTTTGGTATCATCTGGAGACACTGGGATACAAATTACGTCAAGCGAACAAGACAACTCCCATTTCAGTATCAGGTTCTTTCTTTCGGTGCATAAGTGCGTCAATAGAGAGCTTTAGATTCTAAGACGAGGACGACCACAAGAACGCGATTTTCTCGATAAGAAGTAGTGCACTTGCGCGAACCAACATCATTTTGGCGGGAAAATGTGGTAGCCGCCGTCAGCCTACTACGAAGTTTTAGCGAGAATGTCGTAGTGGCGAAAACAAGTTATTTAAAGTTAGGAATTTCATCATTTAGCGATCGGGAAAGGGCTTTAAAACCTCCTTCAACGGAAATAAGCGAGCTAACTTTGGTGGTGAAAAAGTACAATGAAGCTTTCCGGGGTGTCTGTTTTAGAGAACAGGCGAGAAAACTTAAAATTAAATGTCGTTCTCCTCTTCGAATCTAAAGCTCTCTAAAGCAAAGCGAGATCAGCTGGGGGCGGGGAGATAAAAGGGACGGAAATAGCCTTTTTGTATTCTTGGGCAGAGGGTTTGTCCCAATTTTCGGGCGAATCGTCTCTTTAAGAATAAACAGTTAATACAGTGGAACCTCGATATAAGGAAGTGCTAAGTGGTTCTTTCCCATATATTTTACTATTACTAGGGTAAAGAAAATCGTTCATTACATCGAGGACTTCGTTATATAGAGGTTCGTTATATCGAGGTTTCACTGTACATTTAACAGCATCAAAGCATGCTTTAAGGAAAAAGGTCCTGCTTCCGGTTGGCGTGCCTTTGCTCAAAAACGCCTTTGCTTTAGCCCTCTTTTTTCTCTTTCGCCCACTCTCCACCACAACACCCTTGCTTTGTTTTTCTAACGTTAAATGGAGGAGCGACGTTTTGAATATGAAAAACAGGATAAAGTGCACAGGGAAACCAACACCATGATTCCACCAGAAATTTTGGCCATGACAATGACTATGAAAATCAGAATAAATACGAGAAAATACCTTGTACTTCATCACTTTAGCATCCTGTTCAGTCAGCATAACCAGCAGATCTTCGTGTTCTTTGTCTAGCTCTGCTTTCTGTGTCACTATTGTATTCAGTTCTGTCTGTGTTGTGGCTAACTTTTCCTCGAGTAACCTGATTTTATCATGGCTTTCAGTTCGAGCTCTTTCTAACTCGGCTTTCACTTCATCTGTACTGTTGGTGGGCGTATTGAGTGCTTCATCTCTCTAAAGAAAATACAACCGGATTATTATACGTTTCTGGGAAACTGCTCACCTACCCCTCCCCTAAGCCAACATTTTGCCTAAGCAAAAAGTAAATGTTCATTATACGTTTCTGGGAAACTGCCCACCTACTCCTCCCCTACGCCAACATTTTGCCCAAAGTGAGAAGTAAGTGTTAATGTTGGATTAGGGGAGGGGTAGGTGGTCAGTTTCCCAGAAACGTCCCCATACGAGAAAGCAAGGCGCGCAAGGAGACAAGACAGACAACAGAAATTACGCTAGACCTCTGCTTTTCCAACACCGTTTCGAGGGCTTAGCGCTCTAAATCTCTAGGAGTATGTAGAAGGAAGACAACGCAGATTGATTGAAACACAAATGATCAAAGATCAGAGACACAAAAGAATTTCCCTCTTGTATCTATCGGGTTCCAGAGAAATCATTAAAACTACATGGTTCATACTCTCGATTCTTACCACTGCCTCGATTTCATTCTCAAGGTCTGTATTTAATGACCTCAACACGTCCAACTCCTCGTGCAGTGACGTCACAGTCCGCCTCAGCTGTTCCAATTCTTCAAGCTGCTGACTGGTGAGGCTCGCTGACACGGAGGAGAGATCCGTTGTGTCTGAGCCTGCGAGTTCAGCGGCTGCGTGAGCTACCGCTAAAGATGCCTGAGAGACCTCTAGATCTTTTTCCTAACGATAAAATAGTCAATTAAACATTAATCGCGATCGAACAAATTTTCGCAGTTCACCACGAAAATAAGTAGCGTGAAAAGCCTTTTTTCCCCTTTTTTCGCGCTTTGCAGGCGAGCCAAGGCAAGCGCGAGCAACGCGCGAAAAGGGGGGAGGAGGCGGGGAGAGGCTGGTCCTTTGCGCGAGCCTGCGCTTGTCCATGCTTGCCTGAAAAACGTCGATAACCAGAACAAAAATTTGTTTCTCCGTCTCAAACCAAAGAAGAAGTAAGAGCGCGCTTCTTTGTGAGGAAACAAAAATCTCGTTTCTCTTAAGGCATTTAGACCATTTTGACCATTTTTTTTTTTTTAAACAAAAGAAAGAGGTTCAGAAACCAGAATCGGAGCCGTGCCTTTCCTATGCTAATCGCTCTCCCTTACCACTTCACTGTCACACCGTAAAATTAAAGTAATAATATTCTGATAGACCGTCGTTCATAACTGATGCATCTATTACAAGTGAACCTTGACCTTCACCTAACTTTTCACTTAAATTTCTACTCTTGTTAAAATTCCTTCCATCTGAGACTATTTAAAAATTTATTATTTGACTCATTGTAACCTAATTCGGGGAATATATTACGTCTTCCATGACTCAAGGCTTGTGGTATCGACATCGACCTTTTCGAAAGGACCACAGCCTAAACGGTTCCATACCTGACGCAGTTTTGTTGGATTCTTTCTCATAGATGTTCAAAGGGCTTCGTCGCGCGTTCCACCCCGTGAACACGGTAGAGTAAGGTGGGAAGAGCCTGCAGCGCTTTAAACGTCTGCACGAAACGTGTGGATCAGAGATACTACAAATCCGGATTGAGGTAATAAAAATCCACTTTGTCTCGGGGAGTGGATTGTGATGTAAAGCAACGCAAAACACATTTTGCAGATTCAAATATTTTCCCAATGAAGAATACGCGCAGTCAGAAAGCGGAAGAGACATTTAATTTGTGAAAATAAATGACCTACCAACGTTTCTATCTTTTCATCCTTCGTCGTGATTTGTTCCTGAAGCGAATCTCGACTTAACTGCAACTCACTCACTTGGTTTCTTAGATTCGATAATTCCATATTTTCGTCGAAGAAAGATTCACTTACTCCTGTCTGAGGTTTCAAACCTGAAAACAGAGGATGAATTCTTTCAGGCTTGGGATTCATTTAAATTAACCTTTTCGCTCTAATGTGACATTTCTTTTTAGTGCACAGGGAACTGCACACTAGCGCTTCCACCGACTTTCCCAGAACTCAGTTTTGAGGTCCCTCTACATATTAACTTGTAAATGGCTAACCTTTGAGATTTCATTCAAAGAATTATCTTAACAGCAAATAATTTCAGTAGGTTTTCATGAACGCAAGAAAATGTACACCAAGACTCTAACAACTACTGTCGCAAACCTCTCAATTTAGCACATTTCTTGTGTACCTTTGTTTTTGCAACAGCTACAGGAGTACTACAGGCGGTAGAATTTCGCAAATTTGTAACTTACAAATTTATGCATATAATTCAACGACCGAAAGGCGTTCTCAACGGAACAATGTAAACACTGCCAACTATTGTTTACGTAGCCTAAAGCAAGAAACTACATTTGTACTAGTTTACGGAGATTTTGAAACCCTTTAAACAAAATCTCTGAAACTTTTCATATTATATTCAGCCTGCCAACCCTCATTAACATGCGCAAACTCAGACGAATTTTCACTTTAATTTTAAGCTTGGAGGTTAACTAACATAAAACTAAAATAATAATAAATGCAATAAAAAGGTCTACTGAAAACAACTCAAGTATTTGCAACGGGATATATAAACAAATAACAAGGAGTTAATTTCAGCTTGGCTTTATTTGCTTTTAATTAGTAAAGTGAATACACAACGACTACTAACAGCTGTGACACAGGTCGCCCAACCAATTTAGTGTTAGAAATTTGTATGGGAAATAAAACTGATTCAGCTTTATATGGAGCAGAATTAATAAGGTTACCTGGCTTTATTTGTGAATTTTTTTTATGTTTTTTGGAGTGACCTTCAACGTCCTAACCTCGTACCCTGCAAACGTAGACGTATTCCGGCATCTAGGGGCTTACGACGTTTAACATCATCTGTCGGCACTTTAAAAAGAAAAAAGAGATGGGGGTGGGGGGAGAAAAGCACTCTCTCCCCTTCCCCCTCCTCCCCCTCACCTTTCGAAGCCTACACGCACGCTAAAAAATGTAACAACAAAACGCCGAGTAATGCTGTAAATTTTTCTCTTTATTGGGTGGAAAGAAGTGATAACCGGAAATTACGTCTGCTTTCACAGTCTACAAACCTCGGAGAATTGTCAGTTATTCTGTTTACATACTGTCTTACGCTTGGTTTATTTATTGTTGTAAACGTTACAATGAATACGCCTTTAATTTTGCTTTATGCGGTGAAAGTGATACTTACTCTGTGCGAGAAGCAGCTGTTCACGAAGTTGTTGGAGCTCTTGAGATTGTTGTTGAATTTGTACTTGAGCCTTGAGAAAGAAACCCAGAACATAATTAACGGTGCACGAAAACCAAAAAGGACCCTCGGCAGCTGGAAAAACCCTTCCGAGAAATTATTACATGGGAAACTACCGCTAATAAAAAATATTTTCACCGTTTTTGGGTTCATCTCTCGATCCCTCAACTTCCCTCATAAATGTTGCGCCAAAAAAAAAACTGATTAATTTTGCACACAGTCTAGCTCAAAAAACAACACTGGTTGGGGTGGTGGGGAGGAGGTCGCCACTTTAACGATTACGACATTAAGTGCGTTGAGAACATAGGGCCCATTATCCCGGACCGTTCATAGGCTAGTGGTTAGACTTGCCCAAAAGTCGAGCTCAAAATTTTCCTCGAGCACGAAGCGCAAGCGGTACATTTTTTGGTTTTCTGCGGCAAAAGCGAGCGAGAGAGCGGGACACAGCTAGAGGTGACACAACCCGCGTGAAACTTTTTAGCCTTGGAGGGATCTTTGAGGTGGCATTTACCTGATTATAAGATGATTCCATGTCTCCGTATCTTGATTTTAGTTTCCCGATTTCTTCATCCTGCCAAAAAAGCAGAGGAAATTACAAATCTAGCAGTGTAACAAGACAGGCAGTTGTTCATGACATTTAAGAGTGAAACTTCTACACAAGAGACTTTTGATTGGGACACCCTTAATGGGTGAGAAAGTTGTGATATGTTCCCATTTTCATGTGGGGAATGGACGGTTATCGCAACTTTAATTTGCCAGGTAACTACATTCTAGAAAGAATCGAAGCGACGCTTCACCGTTGTAGTCGCGAATTTCTTGATTGTTTTGAAATGTCCACGGCTTAAACAACCTTCTGACCGGCTCTTGAAGCGCAGAAATGCGAGCACTTCGACAATTTCTTTTCAGGAAACTATCCCGAAGACGATGTGAAGACTCGGTTATGACCGCCAGAAACAAAATACTAAAACAATGACAGAATCGTTTGACGGTTATCTAGGTGACGGAAGTACCAAAAATTTTCTATGAGATAAACATTATTTTTCATACTTTTTACTATAACGGTTACCTGTTCCCTAATTAATTCTTTATATGATGAAATAATGGAGTCGTGGTTTTCCATTCCCTGCGGAACTTTCCCATTAACGTGATTTGTCATTTGTTCTTGAGAAGGTTCCTCTTCTATAGCTTTAGTGACAGCGGCTGTAAGAAATGAAAGACGAAAATTTTAATTTCATATGGCGCTTTCGAATCTGGCGCAACCATGGCGTTTTATGAAAGCTTTGTTTTACCACACGTTTCTCAAACGCATAGCCAGCGTTTTCACAATTCACTCTTTTTACAAACTACGATCAGAGAAAAATGCACGTGCGCCCAGAATATAAGCGTGAAGAGGCAAAGGCGATTCAGATAAGGCAAAGCCCCGCCCTAAAGAGCGCATCGAATCCTGGTCCCTTGCAAATTATGGAGCCGAGGGGTTGCATACATCTACATCCTCGTCAGCATACACAAGCTTAGAATAAGAGTATGTAACACCTGCAAGTACCTTCTCGGACAAACTTTGTCGACAATTGACCCATATATTTGCCTGATGCTCGGATTGCCGGTTAAATATTGCTTGCGTCTCTTACGATTAGTTCATTGTCAATTCCGAGACCACTACGAAAGTGACTTCTAATACGGACCCGGTTGGGAATGGCACAAATTGTCCGCTGAAGGAGAGGTTTCAGCCTTAGTGTGTCAAGGAAAACGACTGATAAAAACCGAAAGGACCAAGTTTACCTTGCCTACAGCCACTCCACGCAAACTTTCTCTCCCCGATTTTGTTTGATGGGAGGGGTCGATTGAACACAGACTAACCAACTCTTGGTGTGCGTTTCAGGGACAAGATCGATTTTTTGTTTTTCAGATTTGAGTGTAGTCGCCCTTGCAAACCACCCCAAGCAAAATTTACATTCCAAAGAAGCTATGGGTGTACTAACCTTCTAGCTTTTTAAACAGTTTGGTGAATTCGTGGTCAAACAAGATTTGTCCTTCTGATTCTACTTTTATCTGGCAAGAGACGGAAAACAATGAATATTATTAAACACATAAAAACATAAGTTTCGTACGCTTAACTATTTTCTACGGGCAACTGATTTCTTCACAAGTTTATATTTAATATCGACCTCGCTCCAGCTTAGCTGGAATAAGCTCTCGAATCTCACTCTTGACCTTAACCCCTTCGCCCCTAAAGTCGAAGTGAATGATGTAAGGTGGTTCTACCTTTTGAGTCTGGGGACGAAATCCTGTGGTATCACCATTCTAAGAAAACTTGTCTGCCACTAGTGAAGCACCATATGTGACTACTCACTAGTCAGATATGAGGTTATTTGTTTTACAGCATTATCCCAAAAGACCTTGGAATTTTGACTCAAACCACTTGGGGGGTGAAATGATCAAACACGTGTATTTTTGCTAGCCTTAGACCAAGACCTTAGCTTCCTTAAGCTAGCCTCGTTATCAGTCGTCCTCGGCGAGTTCGGATGTGACGTCACCACCAAGCGTGTAGGAAGAGTTTGTCATCGCACTCGGTTCCAAGCCTCCTCCGCTCACTCAGATAGTGAGAATTGGACTGGAGACAAGGTTGGCTTTACAAAACAAATTTCAAGCCAGGCTTTAACTCTGAGCGGTCGTGACGATTGACCATCAGGTTCAAAAGGGCCCCATCTTAAACCAATTAATCATGCGTTGCCCGATTCATTTACACAATCGGGTCACTAAAAGGCTCTTTTCTTAGATAAAACAAACAAACAAACACAAAACGAAACAAAACAAAACAAAAAGTCGTAATAATGGTCTTCAACATTACCTCTGGTGATTTCACAGCTGCAGTAAAAAACTCGGATTTAGATATAAAACTGATCTTGTCCAATAGATTATCAGCTCCTATTCTTTTGATGATTAAATTTCGAAGGTCGTCCCTGCAAAAAACAAAGGCAATAATGAGAAAACAAGCAAACAACTTACACTATCTGAACAGAGAATGAATGAATGTCGTGGGGTACAGGACAAGTCGCGCCCTTTTTACATATAAACATGTTAACAGTAAACTCGGACTTCAGCATACAAGGCACCACTGGCAGCCGCTATCAGTTCATTTTGAGCTTACCGTAACCCACCCATAGCCTATGATATGAATGATGCGTGATGCGTGAAAGGTTGACCACACTACAGGGGAAACTTCCCCTGCTCTTTTCGAACAGTAGTATGGTTTCTTTCACGTCCCCTTCGATTCTGACTAATGAAAGAAGGATGAAGGAGACAAGGCCAACCGCTTAAAGTCACCGCCCAATGACGCGATTATCTGAACCAAGACAAGCTCTTAAATCACAGCCAACACGACCTAACCAGTTTATCAAAGGCCCTGGTTGTTGGTCCGGCCGGGGTTTGAGCCCACGACCTCCCACTCGGCAGCCTGGTGCTCTCCCAACTGAACTGAGCTAATCGGGCAGCGGTTTGCTGGCTCAGTAGTCTGTCAGACGTACCACAAAGCTGGGGGTAGCGGAGAAAGCTCGAGGGGGTGGTAAAACGGTATTGAAGTGTAGGTGTGTTGTTGTCAACTAAGTGTATAGGCGAATACTTGTTTACATTTTTGCCTCATTAGCATAGGCTTTTCATTATCTGATGAAGCTAATAAAATGAGATTTCTGAATATTGAAAAAGCATAACAATTTCAGTTATCTCTGACGATTTGAGCCCGATACACCAAATAGTTTCGGAGAAATTGCCTTTGGAAAAGCCGCAAATTTATAACGAATGTATGAGCTCATTAGTGTTTAGCCACCCAGTAATTTTGCAGTTTTTAATGGCTGCTTTTTTCTTTGTCACATATTGCAAAGAGCTGAAACTTGCACAAACTGCATAAATTATACCAGCTCTTTTAATTTTTGAACCTAACTGGTATATACGGCTACATCTTCTATGGGCTAACTTGTATGCTAATGAGCAAAAATGTGAACAATGACGTCACGATGAATCCACCTATACTCACAGATAGTCAGTCGACTGCCCGGTTGCCGATACATGAGCGAGACACTGATCGACTATAGGTCGCTAATCAGTCGTATGTCGATCGATACTGCTAAGGTTAATCCTGTGATAGACTATCCAGTAGGGAGTACCAATACTTTAAAGAGCTTTATACCTTTTAGCTTCTTTGTCTCGAACTACACCTTTACCTAAAAAGGTATTCCTCCGCTGAAGTTTGGTCATGTGGTCAGTTAGAAGTGCAACCCCTGAAAATGTTTTTCGCCAATCGAAGTCTCAAGACTTCTTGTACTGATTACTTGTGCGAAAGAAATGGTTTTGTCGTAGCGTATTAACTTTTATTTATTTTTCTTCTCAAAGTTTCAATTTTGGTGGTTTTTTTCATTTGTGCCCATTACTGAGCACTCAAAAGTATGGGTCCGAGCTTTGTTGTGACCTCATCGAAGCAGATCAATTCCACGCAAGCAATACCTTCTTCTCAGAAATCAGAGCAGGAATCATACCCGATTTTTTTTTTCAGTTGCAACAAAACAGCTGATTCCCAGAGAGGTATCGGGCTCCATAAAATTCCATTTTGGGGTTGTACGCGTGCTAAATGATATTAAGAGAAGAAGGATTTGGCTCACGTAAAACACTACCCCCTCTCTCGCTTCCAGGCTATATGCTTTTGAGTAAGACGAAAAGGGTCTCCGATGACGTGACAACAGCGTCGTACCCAGCTCCCACAAATGTTCGGTAATGGGACATGAGAGACCTTACTTAAAACAGCCGTGGAAAAGCGGAGATTTTGAGGTTTTTACGATAATTTTTTTCGCACAGGTCGCCAGGAGAATTATAATATTTCGTTTAGCAAAAAGTATTTTTGGGGTTTAGTTGCACTTTAATGCATTGAGACTTACTTGTGACAAGTCGCTACTGAATTGTCGTTACTGTCCAAACAGATTCCTAAGAGAAGAGAACACAGGGCACCCACCAGTCTATCGGCTTCTTCGCCATGAGCTTCGACTTGTGCCATGAGCTTCAAGCAGTCAAGGACATTCAACTGAGATAACCGTCGTGTAACTAGTCATGTCTTGTCGTTTCAGTCTGCACTAATAATACCGCATAGATTGCGGTTCCTTTTGTTTAAAGCCTAGCTAATTTTTTTTTCAGCTTTCTTTGCGCAACTACATAAGTTGAGTCTTGACGCGATGATCGCCTTTACATTAAATTCCAGCCCTGTCAGTATTCTGCGATAACTACTCGTTATCAACCGCAAATTCTAATGCAATAATCAGCAAGCTCGCCTGTCGTTTCGATACAAGTTGATTCAGTCGAGATGTAAATAGTTTCACATAATTGGCTTAAACCCAAATGTTTTTCTTGTTCACACGCTAACTTTACTTTAAATGATCGGAAATGTTATCGAAACGACGTTGTATCGAAACGACTTTGTATCAAAACGACTTCTATCGAAACGCCCAGTTTCCACAAGCAGACCTCAAGTAAATACACTGGTGTGAAAGGATACGTATGGTATGTTGGATGAATTATGAAGAAAGTGAGCTACAGCCAGGGAACAACCGGATAACCAGGAGCAAAGCAACAACAGCAGACCTACTCGTGTTTGAATCTCTCCTCCCTAGAAAAAACAAAAAAACAATCCTGCTTAACCCTGCTGCCTTTAGATATTGTTGATACAAATAAGTAAAAACACAGCTTGGAATTCATGTTCAGTTGACGGACACCTCTCTAAAATGGACACCTAGAGTTGATCCCTGACATCATTTGGTGTTTTTGGTGACTCTCTATAAGGACACCTCCTTAAAGTGGACACTTAGGAATGGTCCGACCATCCTTCAGTATTTTTGCATCATTCTCTATAAGGCGGACACCCCTCTAAAATGGACACCTAAAGTTGATCCCTGGCATCCTTTTGTGTTTTTATTGACTCCCTTTGAGACGGACACATCCTTTAAGGGGACACCTGAGTTTATCCCTACTGTTATTCAGTCATTTTCTTTGACTGTCTTTAAGGCAGACACCTCTATAAAATGGACACCTAGAGTTTGTCCCTGCCATTCTTCAGTCATTTTCTTTGACTCTCAACAAGGTGGAAACCTCGCTTAAGTGTACAACTAGAGCTCAACCTAGTCTCACACGCAGCCGCGTTTGTCTCGTCACGCAACACTCCGTCCCCAGCGTTGCGTGACGGGACAAAAACGTCGGCGAAGGAACTAAGCTGGACCTTACCTGTTTCTGCATTTCACTAAGTACCTGTAATCGCAAAATCCTTAGTCGCATACTTATAAGCTCACCTGTGAAAGCATGTTGGTACATTGTTGTAGCAGTGACACAGGAGGATTCCCTGAAACGAATACAGCTTTATTTCATCTCACGAAATGTTGACAAAGGAAACAAAAATGCCCTTCAATTTTAACTAAGAATAAACGAAATCCCATGCAAGCTGATCTTATTGTTTCCACTCACCAACACTTGTTGCAAGTTGCACTCTTAGAAGTTGTTCTTTCTGGGTGGGGTTCCCTTTTAAACAATGAGAGAGGGCGACTGCCGCACACCAGTTTGACAGCGGATCAGGGCTAAGGAAACAAATTAGTTTCTTTTAGAAAGACGGACGAAAGTAAACTTTTGGGACTCGAATAAGACTAGTCAATGTGGGCAAGAGGGTAAAAACGAGTTTGAGTACCATCGTGTAGTTCCCGAAAATATACATAACCCATGGAGGGCACTTATGTTTTAAACCCCCTCCCCCTATCTATCGCGTAAGCTGAGAAAAAACGAACATTCAGCCCCCCTTTAATAAAATACCATAAATGAAAACAATAATTCCTGCTTTAAAATACCGTAAGAAAAAGAATGATAGCTTGCTCAAAAGAGCAGCTGTTAGTTTTTTATAACTCACCAGTCTTACTCAGAGCCCCCGGAAAAAGGCCTCAAGAAGCCACCCCCCAAACCCTCAGAAATTACGTCTTTTTGAAGTCCTTGGTCCAAGACACGCACTCACCCCCAGTCCCTAGTTGTTGTAACGCTGGATGGCGATGAATCACCATCCATCGGATAATTATTAGGGAAACCAATTGCGTTATACACTGGATAGTGGTTTATGCAGTGGATAGCGTTATCCATCTTTTAAACAACTGGCGCCATCTGGAGAGTTTTCTCATAAGTCTTCAGTTCGACTCCTCGGCCATGCTTTTAAATAACCATCTGGTTTGCCCGCTGCCAGTTGGGTTTTTTAACCATTTATCCATGTTATTTAACTTTTATTTCTCTTTACGTTTGAGTGTAGTGCAGGCTCGATTCCGCCGCTCTCTCGGTCTTCCCCGAGAAGAGCTGCTTTTATCGGGGGTGGAGCGTGGGCTCATTTCCCACACAGCGGCTAGTAATCGAGCCTAAATGTAGCCGCACCTTCATGTAGACGAACTGGTTGTCACAGCGCATTTCTGATAAGAACAGAGTCAGTAGCCAAATGATGGTTACGGAGATAAAGACAAGGGCTACCTTTTCACTCTGCCACACTTACTATCCTACTGCCGCAAATAAAATCATTGTTTTTACCTGAACAATCCCGCACACAGTAATTGTCCTGCTGAGATGTTGGTGGCTATAAGAGACAAAAAATTGAACATGAAAATGTCATAGTGATTTTTCGAACGTTGCCATGCGGCAGGTACAAAACACTGGTCAAAGGGCACAGTGTGCAGGTTAGAGTACAGGTCACCGTGCTACGGTAAATAAACAACACTTTACACTATTTACAACAGATATGCTTACCGGCAGAAGCTGATGAAGGTAATAATGTGGTAACAATATCATTTTGTCCTTGCTCATTCTTGTACAAATAACACTGTTTCAGCAGAAAGAAACAAATCAATTTTGAGAAGGAATCAGAGATTTTATTATTTTGAAAGCAAACAATTTTCCCGCCTGATTTTACACGTCGGGGAAGTTAATAAACGAGTCTAATCAAGGGAGTAACATTAAGCCTAAAACATGACTTACTTGAAAGCAGTACAAGACGGCACACCGTAAACTAAAAGGCTGTTTGTCGTTTATCATGGACATGAGAAGAACTACAATGGCAGAACTGAAACGTAAAACATACATGCAACATTGGATTCGATAAGTAGTTTTAGCTTAAATATCGTCTGATTAAATTCTTAAATAAAATTAATGCCACAAATCGCTCAAACAGATACGAAATCAGTAGAATTTTCAAGTTTATGTCTGAAAATTTGCTTCAACCAATCGGAAGGTCTACCCAGATCTAGGTAGTGACACGTCATCAGTTTGGAATTTCTGCGCCCGTTTCTCAGAGGTCATTTGGCGGGAAAACCAGTGGTAGCGTCGCGAAATGTCGGCTGTTTTGAGTTTTTGTCAGGCTAGTACTTACCTTGGAGGATTGGACGGAGCATTGACTTGAGAAAAGTATTCTTGATTCGCAGGGAATCCTCTAATGACTTCAGATACGCTGTTAATTGTCTAAAACAAAGAGATTCGTCATATAACATATGTTTTATTTAACAGAAGCTTCATATTACTCTGAGCAGAAAAGCTGCATTGAAAGTCTAGATCGCAAACTTTGTTTTTAGTATTTTAACAGAGATTGGATATTCAATCAATTTTCTCATTAAATCTATGACAAAAAACCCCAGTAGGAGGCCAACCATCCAAACTTCAATCAAACACTCCCAGTCAAGACGTTACAATTATTGGAACCTCTCGTAAAGCACTACCTTCTGTAAGCGACCGCAACCACTTTTCGGGAATGATGGTTTTTAAAACAATTTTCCATTGTTTTTAACCTCTTGTAAGCAACGGCTTGACGCATGGTCTGATCTCTATGTTTGCAGCATGTACTATGCTATAAGTATGCTATGCTATTAGTATTTCGGATAGTTTTTCGTGCCGACACGAAAAGCTGTCCTGTCCGGTATATTGTGAATAACTATCCGATATGTGAATCTCCACTTTACAGAGATCGGCGCGGTTTTCGCTACGTTACGGAAATCGCGTTACCGTTCTTATGTGTGAACAGAAGCGTTATCTGGTATAGTTTTCCTACCGGTGCAAAACCTATCTGGTAT